CTTCTCTTACAGCCCTACAGCTTACTTATATAAGCATTGCTTGAAGTACACTGTACTATGTGAAAGAAATGAGCCCTGCCTAGCCGATGTATTATTTATTTAAGTGACAAGCACAGTTTGGAGATTTTTGTAAGCAGATCAGTATAAAATACTAGACTTGAAGAATGAACTCAAAGGCCCCACTGAAAGGCTTTTATGTAAGAATTCACCAGTAAAACATTTAATACAGAAAGTCAAGTTAGCACCTCTCAAGAGTGAAGTGTCACGGAACAGAAAAGAATGGATGTATTTTCTTTGAACCCTCCATTTGTACTGTGCTGTTTACCTGTAAGATTACACTTTCTATTTATAGTCATTACAAGAAATTGAAACAACCACCTAGCAGTAAGATTACTCGACTCAGACTTACTGTTACTATCACAACAGATATTTTCTAACTCCTGTGAACCTGATATCCTTAAAAAGAAATAGAATCTTAATTCTTTCTTGCTTATCATTCAAAGACTGTCCTGCTGTGCAGTCTGCCTACCAGGCTAAGTAAGACCTGTCAATTCCTAAACATAATTTTCCTACAGCTGAGTATGTTTAGCCCCAGGTTCCTTACTCCATGAATTTCCAGCCTCTGATACCTGTAATATTGCCCCCCCCCAATTGTACCATGAAGACAGGCATATTTTTTTAATACATTTTTCACTGACATATTCAGAACTTGCTGTCTTCTGGAGAAACAGATAATCATAGCAGCTGTTCTGCTGACACTGAGTAGAAGCTCTAGCTGCCAAGCAGTACATAAGAAAATGGTTTATAATCTCATTACATACAAGCCAAGAAAGAAATAGAAATTAATTATATTTTATAAAATATGTATTTAATATATTTATTAAATGCTGACATAGAAGAATGCATGAAATTTAGTTTTATTTACTGTCACTAAAAGCCACAAAGTGATTCAGAATTTTATCTGCTATAATTATGGAATTATTTAGTCCACACCATAAGAAAACTATCAGAAACAGGAACTCTTCCAGAAAACCCATACAGCCAGTACATGAGCACTCATAATTTCAAACCACTGGAGAAAAACCAAAATGAATTTGCATCTGTAACAACAGACTTGTGGAGGTTTCTGCATTCCAACTCTTCTTTATGAAATATGTGCAAAAGACTGTCAATTTGTCTCAAAATGTCAGTAGAAAAGATTATAGAACAAATGAACAGCAGCAAAGCCAGTATGATCACAGCTAGGAGTTTTAGTGCCATAAAGAATGAGGCAGCTGCGTGACTATGTCTGAGATGGATTTTTTTACTTAAAATTGATGTTTTAAGTGAAAGAATAGAAGAAGGCATATGGGACACAGATTTTTTACAGGATTTATGAGTTGAATGAAAGAGCTATTTACTATTAACTCTTATGTCCTTACAGAGCAAAGTGATAGAAACACTAAGAAAACCATAGAATACATGAATATCTTGATTTATTATATAGATTTTGTAAGCTTCATTAGTTTAAATTCATGTTAGATTGAATAAAAAGTATGAGAGAACCAAGATAAAAATTTTCATATACCAAGAAACTTTGTGAAATCTGGCTATCACACATACCAACACTGAATAATTGCAAATGTGAAAATCCAGCTGAAAAAATGTTCTCACCTTAAGCCAGGTATTTCCTTTTATTTATTTTTTTTTGTAACTCAAATACAGAACATGCTAGCAGCAACATTTTATTATTTCTAACTGAGGCAGAAGCTTTCCCCTTTGAGACTGGATTCAGTGATTTCAGGCAAATGCATGAGTAAGGTTTTCCTAAGAAAATTAGATCATAGAATAATTTGGTTATTCATGGCTGGTGTTTGCCTTAGCACATACTTTTGAAAACACTTTTTTTTCCCCTTCAGTGTTTCTGAGGAAATATATCCATCAGTCCCAATTATTTGGTGTGAAATGATTTCTGATAGTCCAGCAGATTATGAAATAAATTGTTCCAAACCATCCTGCCATCCTAACCATAAATAAGTTGAATATCTAAAGAAAATCAGGGATGTAGTATTGCTGTGTGTGAAACACCCATACTAGAACAGACCATTACATTTTCACTTTTAAAGCATCACAAATATAGAACTAATAGCAACAACAATAAAAATCACATCATAAAGGCTACTTATTTGCACCTAATTGCCCTACCAAGTTATAACAGAATAATGCTAATGAGATGTAGTGGGAAGACCTGCCATTGTTTCTAGTTCAGATGCACAGAGTTATGTGATATAATGCACACTGGGACAGTACAAATACCCTTAAAGCTTCCAAAATACTACACAGCTTACATATTTTTTTGAACACAATAGCCAATGCTCAAAACCCAACTAAAACCAAAAACCAACAAACCCAAAACCCACCAAATCCAAAACTGACTGCAGATGTCAGAGCAATTTTTTTTGGTGAAAAGTAAAAACTGTAGTGGGATATTGTGTTTTACAGAACACAGACTGTCTTGTGTCTGAACATAATTTTCACAGGATGTCCCAAAGAAAAGTGGACCAAATTCAATTTAGCTTCTGAAAAAGAGTGGAAGACTAGAATATTAAATCTCATGTCACAATTAATGCCACATAAAGTTCAACTGCCAGCATCAGGATAATTTTTCTTGGGAAGACTTTGGTCTTCCTTGGATTCCCTTGATGGCTTTCAGTTTAGTTTCTGCTCTGAGCTTGGTAAAAAGGCTATTTTTGTCTTCTTTGGTTCTCTCTTCAGTAGTAAGGCAGTTTCTTAGGTTGTCGTTTATAAGGGGTTCCTGGTATTCCTGCACATGGGAAGGTTGTAGACTATTGTTACTACTGAGAAAACCGTTGGGAGGATTTTTGCAGATGCTTATGTTCATGACTAATGAGCTCTTTCATGAATTTTGGGAGAAGCTGCTATATAATGTCAACGTTTTTGTGGGGTTGCCCATCGCTGTAGCTTTTCCTTGGATTGCCAAGTTTTTCCCCAGATATTCCTACACAGATTCTAATCACAGTAGAATTTTAATAAATGGTGTGTTCTGATGTAATCATTTTTGATTCCTGAGTAATGAAGAATCTCAATGGTTATGATAAATTAGGCATAGCCTTTCTTCTTCCTTTCTTTTGTCCTGTTGGTGTTGTTCCACACGAGGTTTTTTCTGTCTTGTGCTTGGCACTCATATGTATTCTAAATCTGAATTACAAAGTAACAAAACACAGATAAAATATTTGTTCCCATTTACATGTAAATTCATTGGGATTAATAATTGACAATATGATGTATATTTTAATTTAACATCTGGAATACACCAATTTGATGCTGTAGCTGCTTGTTAGACTAATGATTTTCATGGATCGTTCTTTTCTGTTATCTTTTCCGACTTTAGGGTTTCAGTCAGAACTATGCTGTTTTTCTTTCTTTTTCTTCAGTTGTACTTAAGTTTTCAGATATGAAAACACTATGGATATGTACAATACCTCCTTTTTACTTTGAAACATGTAATGAATCAGAAACCAGAAGAATACTTTTCTCTGCTTGCTTTTGGCACAGATTGATTCATTTGGATGTAAAATGATATGATTTTTTTCCTTGAAGATATTTTTTAGGGCCAAGGAACCCACCCCAAAATGGCTTCTATAAATTTTCTTTTACAGTCTGGGACACAAGGGAAATAAGTGATGTCAATTGGAAGAAGAAATTAAAAATATGTTCATGTTTAACCTACCCTTAGTATACACACGCACACTCAAAGACATCAACACTCCTCCTTGTTCTCATATTTAATCATGAGTAAATATTGCACTGATTAAACTTTGTTACAACGACTAAGATGTCACAAGATTTGCGGAGAAATGTTTAGCTGAATTGCTTGGCTAAATTGTTCATTAGATAGGTTTCCCAAAGGAAAAAGCTCAAGCTCTCTCCTCTTTGCTTTTGATTTTTGATCACTGTTTCTTAAGTGGAGAAAGGATTTCCTTTGCAATGACCTCTTCATTCACAATTCATCTTTACAGTCTGTTTCTGTCACGGGCATTTGCCCTTTTCTGGCCACGGTGCAGCTCCATTTCCTGCTCCCCACTGTGGGTGACCTTACTCTGCCTGCTCCTCCATGTGCCTTAAAACCTGGCACTAACAGAAGAGCTCTCCTGCCAGCAAAAACTGTTGATGCCACCCCTCAGCAGAAATAATAATGTGTCTAACAAGAGAAGCACTTTGTAGTGATTATCAGTTTTAATGTTATTTTGAGCATGTTAAATTAACCGATCTAATGCACATATATTCTCCTGAATGCTGTAACTGCTGACATCTCCTACACACAGCCCTTTATATAGTGTGTCTGCTGTTGTGTCTGTGCAGGTCAGGGAACCCACGAGCGCGGCACGATCATCCCGGGCCAGGCCTTTGCCCGGGAGTGTTTCGTGAGGGGCAGCGGCTCTCCCTGCCACTGCCATTGGCCCAAACACGCCCTTGGGTACAGGGAAGCGCACGGCCACTGAAGGTAAGGCCCGGTGCGGCCGGGCCGTTCCCACGGCCGTGCCATGTGCCCAAGGCCACATCCAAGGAGGAGAAAGGAGCAGGAGAAGCAGGACGAGCAGGACGAAGCCAGGCGAACCTGCCGGGACCGCCCCTCCCCTTCCCCCCCACCCTTGGGCCTCGTCGGCCGCCGTCCGCCCATCCCTCAGGTGAACGCGTATCCCTCCGCCGCGGCCGCCCCTCGGACGGGCTCGCACCCGGCAGTGCCCGGATGGAAACTGTGATGGCGGCCGGCAGCGCGTCGCCGGACGGTGGCGGTACTCGAGGTAACTCCGCGGGGGGCGTCGGGCGGGGAGCGGGGAGGCCCTGCGCGGGGCGGGAGGGACGGCCCGGCGCGGCTCGGAGCGGGCAGGGGGCGCGAGCGGCCGCGGCGGGGCGGAACGGTACGGGACGGTGCCCCGTGGTGAGGGTGAGACATTAAATAGTCCGCGCTCGGCGGCGGCGGGAGGCTCGCGGGGCAGCCGGCACTGGCGGCGGGCGGGACCGCGGGGCGCGCCCGGGGCGGCGGGGCTGGGCAGAAATGGCCTCGTGTGCAGCCGCCGGTCCGGCCGTGGGACCGTATCCCTCCGCCGCGCTGCGCGCCGACAGTTGCGGCCGCCCCGGGGCCGTGCGGGCGGGGGCGGCGCTGCCGCGGGGCTCCCGAGGAGGAGCCGGCCAGCGACGCGCCTCGCTCGTCCCTAGCCCGATGTCGCCGGCGCCCGCTGCTGTGCCCGCGGTCAGGCGGAGCTCCCGAGCTGCCGCCGCCTCGTCGGCCGCCCCGCGCTTTGTCCCGGCGCTCGGCGGCCGCCGCAGCCCCTGGCCGGCTCCCGCGGCAGCGCTGCTCCCCGGCAGCCCCGGCGGGCGGGGGCAGTGTCAGCCCGCCGCTGGGCTGGCGCTGGCCCTGCGTCGCCGCCGCGTTCCGCTGCCGTGTTTGTACATGGCAGGTTCGCCCTGTGGCACGGGCAGTCTGTGTGTGAGCTCTGAGAGTGCTTCGGTGATTTTTTTTACTTTTTTAAAATTTTATTTATTTATTTTTTTAAATTTAGTAAAGCAGCGTTGTGCTGCTCGGGTTGTGTCCGACTGCTCCAGCTCTATGGGTTTTTTAAGATCAAGTTTTGTGAGTTCCTGCATGTGGCCAGGTCTGGGGAGAGATTAAGGCACCGCTCTAAATTTGCAGGCACACAGAATGGCACTGGACATGGGATATACTTCAGTATTATTTCATTTATTTATTTGATAAAATTTAAATGAGTCTAAATTTCTTCAGAAAACTTGAAGATACTGCCTGCTGGATACCTGTTCTGAATGTAGTTCGAAATGGAAAAACTATACAAGTTACCTAATTTAGCAGTGTCTAACTCCTATCTGTAATTTCTCTCTAGATCAAAGTATATAGCTTAAACTTTTTATCTGTACTTTTTTTAAAGGCAGTATGAACACATTGCAGCATTTTGGGGGAAGAAAATTGTGGCTCAGAGCCTCAAGGGGTTACTTATGCTTGTCCTTAGTGGTTTGGGCATTTTTTGAGTGAGAGCTAACTGTGGCACATGCTTATATATTTTCAATGTTTGTACTCATTTTATCTGCGTTTAAATCTACTTATTTGTTTCAGATAGTGTGAATGTAGTATGTTGCTAACAACTTTATAGAAACTTATAATTAGGTCTTTGCCATTAAAATTTTTGCTTGAGAAAAGATAAATGCCTTTTGAGTTCAAGTTAAATTCTGATGGACAGAGATAGCAGTCACTTCTTTCTGTGCTGTTTTTAAGTTATCATGTGTTTATGCTCCCCACTTTGAATGCCTGAGGTGTAGTGGCAAAACTAAGGTAAAATAGGCATTGTTATATTGTGTATATATACAGTATTAGTATTGGTATTGCATTTGATGGTGTTCTGTGGGAGAAAAGTTGGTACGTATTTTTGTCTTCGATGTATTAAAACTCTGCATAATGTAAATTTGTGAGGGATTTGTGCTTTTCAGCTTATTCTTTCAGTTATTGCTTGTATTTACGCCACTTAGAATACCTTTCCTTTTGTTTCCAGAACTTTTTCTAGTATTTCTCCTGACTGTGGCCTTGTCTGAGTCTTGCAATCTTACCTCTTCTTTGTGTGTGGAAAATATCCAGCTGTGGAAGAATTGAAGTCAAGTATTTTCTTAACATGTAAGTCAGACTTTGAAAATATACCTTTAGAGATCCCTGGGATAAAAGAAAGCCCTTTTTTTTTAGTGGTTGTTTCAAGTAAATATTTTTATTTGTCATGCTGCAGAAGCTTGTTGATTGTTACATGCTACCCAAAAATAATAAAATTTACGTTATAAGGTTAGTTAATTAAAGGGTATCTTAGATCCCGACTCTCTGCCAAATGTAAATGTTGCCCAGATGAGGACCACATTGGCTTGGTATTGAAATCCTGAGCCTTGTCCTCTGCAGCACTTTAGCCACTTCTTATTTCTCTAGTTTTGATTGTAAGCATATTTCAGGTTTCAGTGTCTGGCAGTATAACCTTTTAACCTGAAGGATGGGCAGCTACCGTCAGGATGATGTGTTGCATCATGCAAGCTGTAATCTTTGTGTTGCACCTGTGTACTAAAAAAGTTGTTCAAGCAAACAAATCCAAATAATTTTTAGTTTCTTATTCTTTCTGAGGAAGTTCAGCTTGCTTCTATTCAAATAAAGGATATGCCATTGGCAAGAGAGTGCATGTTAATGCAGTACTCTTTTGCTGGAGATGGAATATAAATGCACATGAGTTGTTCTCAGGGCTCAAAGCTGGGTAAAATCCCACATATTAATCTTCTCTGTGGAAGATGGGAAGTGTGTAATTGAGTTAAAAGAAAAACAAAAATCCTGTATCCAAAGTGTTTCTATTTGGAGAGATTCTGAGGAGGGAGTGTATGGCTCTGTGATTTGTTGTTTTGGGGTGGGTTTTTTTTTGTTTTTTTTTTTTTGGATGTCACATGTGTAGTTGAAGTCTTGGAGGTCTCATATCTGGAGAACACAGTTAAGTGAATGTACTTGAAATTAGAGTCTGTGTATAGTGTCAAAGTCTGTTCTGTTTATTATTTTTAAGAATTGTGCAGAAGTGCTAGTATCTTCTCTAGAGGAAGGCATTAAAGCGTGTGCTCAAAAAAAAGTGGTTTGCTTTTCTTGCTACATGGTACAAGAACATGGACTTGAAAATTTTTCAGTCTCCATTTTTTTTGTAAGGTATTTACATGTCTAATGCTAGATACTTCCTTCTTCCAGGACTGTGGGAAAAGATTTGAATGATCTTAGGGCTAATGCTTGTGATGGCTTGGAGATCTAGACGCAGCCCTTGCACTGCACTTACTCACAGTGAGGGTGTGATCATTCTTTCAGGTCGAATGTGAATAGATCCGATGATCTAAGGAGTTGCAAGTCTGTGTTGCTTCAGGGTAAGCCCCGGAGTAGGGGAGAGAAATGTGCTAATCAGACTTCAGCTATCAATTAACTAACTTTTGTTAGGAAAGAAGAGAGTGACTTTGTGACTTGTACTGCGGAAAAAGTTTTTTAGTAGAAGGTGTTCCACTAGTGAAGAAACAGTTCTTCATTTCCAGTGTTGCTTTTCAGAATTTAAGTTAATTTTGCTGCTGTTCCAATTCTCCTGATTCTGTGTCGACATTCTGTGCAGGAGTGTTGTTCAGGCGTGGACTTGAGCTGCTGTACATTGTTGATGCAGCCTGTTATGGAAACACTGGCATGAAATCTGTAGTGAGACAGTGATGCTGACCATAACTGTTTGAGCCTTTTAATCCATAGAAGGCTAGTGCTGTCAGTCATGCACTGAAAATATTGATGTGTACCCAGGAACATGAAATGAGAAACCTGAGAACTTCTATCTGTTGACTGATTCAGACTTGTGTGGTACTGAAGGTAGGCATGTGAAAAATTCATTGTAGGTCAGTATGATTGGTTTTTTGGTGTTGGTAAAGGTCATGTCTCCATTAGTGAAGTAGATATTTTGTCAGATTCTGATTTTACTTTCTTTTCTTTTTAAGCGCAATAGTAACTAATAGAGTAGCACACTTGAGTAACAAAAATGTCAAATGCTGTAGATTTTGACTTCTTTTTAGTACTTTAGTTAGTGGCATGTCACAAAGGAGTGGTTTTATTTGCATGATATCCCAGATGAGTAATAAACACAGGCTTCATTTATAAAAAGTAGATCTTCGGATTTCTTTATGTTTACAGGGTGGGAGAAACCCAAAAGTTGATGACATGTATCTTTCAGTAGGTGTTCTTTAAAACATATTTTTCAAGTTTTTTTTTTTTTTTGAAAAAAGCACCAAGCAACAAATCAACAAACACCCCCAACACAAACAATCAAAGGTTATAGTGTAATAGTTTTTTTTTTTGCTCATCCTTTTTTTTTCCGCCCCTTGAGTAATATTATAAAGATTAACAGCTTCAGAGATTGACATACATTTGTTAGTGAATTGTAATAGGTGTTCTAATTGCATTAGTTTGAAAAGTAATTAATTGTTTTGTTTGTTTTTTAATTTCAGGAGAATGAAATGGAGAAGTTGTAGAGCTTTGAGAGTAACTTGGCACAGTTGTCTCATTTGCTGCTGGAAGTAAGACTAAATCTCAAGAATTCATGTAAAGAAAAGTAGAACCTAAAATCATGTCATCTGAACAGGAACACTTTTTTTGTGACAAAAAGCAAATCAGTTTCTTAAAACACAATGCTATGAAGAATTTTTCTACAGACGTTACTTTGAAAAAAGACCTGGTGAGTGATCCTTCAAGTATGACCATTCAACCAGCAATTTTAGATGTCAATCTCGCTTATGGACTAAAAAACGTGAAGATTGAATTGCCCAGGGTGAACATTCCAAATGAAGTATTAATGAAACATGAAGTTGATAGGTTTAGAAAACTCTTTCAGTGTAAGCAGCAAACTGCTAGGAAATCCTTACATCTAGAGAAAATAAGCGGAAGCAATCTCAGTTGTTCAGAAAGAAGCCACTTGCAAGTTAAACCAGAAGTGCAATTTGAAGAAGGGTTGAAAACTGCAGCAAAGATACTGAATTTCACTTGTACGAAGTGCAAAGATAACATTAGATACAGCCCAAATGACCTGCAGAAACATTTTCAGCTGTTACACTATGGTGAGTTGCCTCTGTATCCTTGTGAGATGTGCAGCTTCTCAGCTAATGACTTTCAGTCGTTTAAACAGCACAGACGCATCCATCGTAGCACTTTAGTAAAATGTGAGCTCTGTAATGATGAGCAGATATATACTTTGTTGGCTTTGACAAAACACTTCTTATCAAAGCATTGTGTAAATGGACACTTTCAGTGTGAAAAATGTGGGTTTTCTACCCATGATGTGGGTACGTTCGTTCAGCACATTCACAAACACAAGGAGATTCCCTATAAATGTGGAAAATGCCATCAAGAAAACTTTACGGAAGAGGAGCTCCAAAATCATCTCCTTGTTCATACCAGTGTGTTTTCTTTTGGTTGTCCTTATTGCAGCTACAGCACATCCAGGAAAGATTATCTTTTAAAACACATCATAGCTTTACACAGAGACCACTTAATTGCAAAAGAAAAACTGGAAAAGGATAAATATGAAAAAAGAATAGTAAAGACTCCAACAGGACTGAAACTTGTATTAAGAAGGTATAAAATGGGAGCATCAAAAAAAACATTCTGGAGACGGAAGAAGATAAGCAGTGGAAGTGACAGTGCTGGAGAAGAAAATACAGAAGTGCTAAGAAGTGTGAATAAAATTCAGCCAAATGCTGAGGAGCTGAACCAGTGTATGAGAGACGTGGAAACAAATGAAGAGGAAGATCAAGTTAAATACACGGAAAAGCGTCATTTCATGGGTGGAATGCTCTCTGCTAATACTGCACAATACAATAAGGCAGATGATGGGACAAGTTATGGCCTGGGATTATTGAAAAGTGCTGTTCATGGGCCAACAGTACTGATGGTTAAAAACAATAAAATATCTGTACCAGCAAATTACAGTGCTAAATTTATGGGCTTTAAAATGGTAGATGGAAAACAACATATTGTTATAAAATTACTACCTACAAGTAAGCAAAATGAACATCTGTTGGGTCAGAAAGTTGATCCTGTTAAAGATGGTTCTGCAACTCCTTTGCTACAGACTGCTGATCCCTGTGGCTTGTCTTCAGGTGCTATGCCACATGTAACCGATCAGTCAACTTTAAAGAACAACTGTGTTCGTCCATTAACCTCCCCTCCGTTTTCTTGTCCTGCTCCTCATTCAGGAAAAACAAAAATGGAAAAGCAAAATAACTCCATATTGTATGGTAGGAGAGTTTCTGAAACTGTAGCACCTTCTAATATAGCTGAAGGAAGAAGTCCAAATTGTTTATCAATGAAGCTGGGCTCAACTGTACCTCCACATGAAGAGGTAACAAAAGTTGGAACTCAAACTAGTATCTCATGGGGAAGCTTTCGTCCTTCAAGTCATCCTCAGGTATTATCACCCGCTATTACAAATAACCTTCATTATGACCGTATGAAAATGCCCTACTTTCCTGAACTGAAAATGCAAAATGGTGGCCTGAGTAATAGCAATGGAACTAATAATCTCTATTATTCAACCTCAGTGGATTCACCTAATGAAGGGTTGTTGTCTTTTCACAACTATTCCAAAATGGACTCTTTGGATAATCCATGTAGCATTTGGACGTCAACAGATGACAGGTACAAAGAATTTAGCAGAAGAGGTTCTTTTCAAAACAGTAGAAATGAACCTCCATCTCCACATTCAGAGTCAATGAAAGGTTTGAAAGCAGAGAAAATTGTGTCAGCCCAATCGAATATTAATAAAACTTACAAACACATAAACACTAAGAATAACTCTGTGTCTTTTAAAAGCCAATCTGAATGTGGTGTTAACAGCAACTGTTTTACAGAGGACAAGCATAATGGCCGACAGTATTTGGACACTAACAGAGAGCAAGGCTTTCAGAATGTAGCTGAGAAATTCCAGGAAAATGCCTCTGGTGGTGTTAACTCTTTCTTAATGCCTAAAATCACATCTGTTTTCTCATTACAAAGTGAGCAGGCAGCTAATTATTTATCGCCTGAGATAAACCAATTACTGCAAGATGTGTTAAAAGTAAAAACAGCTTCTCAGCAGGAGTTCCACAGCAAGACTAACTGTGTCAAACTTCGTTCTGATAAGCTGCTTTCTGGTCCTGAGACCAGGAATGCAGCCTGCGTGCGTTTAAAAAGCTCTGCAGCTGCGTGTGGTTTTCAGAGGCCTCCTCCTAATGTACACTTCCCTTTATGTAAGAGAGAGTTCAACACAAGATGTAGCACAAATGAAGGTACATGTTATGGGAGAGAAATACAGACACCCAAAACATCACTTGATTCACAGGACGTGGACAAATTATCCAGAACTCCGGGTGTCGGTACGTTGCTAGAAACTTCTACAGATGAGTTTACACAGCAGTTAGTAAAAGAAAAAGTACTGTCTGCAGCTCAAAATCCTAGCAGCTTTTCACCAGTTTTGCCTGTTCTTCAGGAACAAAAGAAAGCCCTTTTTGTTCAGTCCCTTCCGTCACGATTTTTCGTTCCTTTCCACCTTTCTAACCAGTCTAGGCAGCAGGTGGTGTCAGGAAAATCTCTTCCATCAACCAGTTCATCAGATGGGCATGTTACTAAAGGTGTACCTGCATCTTGTGTTTCAAATAAAGGACCTGGAATGATTTTGACTTTTAGTGGGACAGTTGGAACAGTTGCAAATGCCGCTAATGGTAGTTCTCAGGTTTTAGGGGGAATTGCTTCCAGAGAATATGGGAAAATACCAGCTTCAGAAGTGAAGGGGAAAAATGGCAGTTTTAGAAATGTAAGAAGTTCCTGTAATGGGGAAGTATGTGGTACAGTAAATGACTCATTGAATAGTATGCCATTCAAAGCACCTCTTGTAGTTACAAACTCATCAGAGTTGTCTGTGAAGGCAAATGCTTCTGTGAAGGTGTTACCAGAGCACCAGGATGCTGTCTTTGGTTCCTTGGAGTCAGTAAAACAGCAGGAAATTAAACAGGAACAACATGTTTATGCACTTTCGCCTGATGGACAGCAGGGAGTTTTTCTGAAGTGTTTGACACCAAACAAGCCTGTAGTTCATAAACCAATTTTTTTTCAGGATAATGCTCATCAGAATTGTCAACCAAAGAAAACTGGAGCCATGCAACAACAGCCTTTGCTGAAAATTAAGACTCCTACTTCAGATACACTGTCTGATAACACTCAGTCAGTAAGCAACTTGGTGCCCTCACTTCAGGTGGATAACTTGCAGTCCCTTACTCCTGCACTAGCACAGAAACAAACTAATCTTAGTTTTAACGATGCCTTAAATTTTCCAGGTGGGTTAATGCCAGCAAATGCCTCTTTGGCAAGCTCTAATCCAGCATGTCATGTTCCTCCTGTAGAACCTGTTTGTTCTGCTGGATCTGCGGGGACACGGTTGCAGAAATGTTCTATTGAGAGTATGCAAGTAATAGCTGCTAACAAGAGGAATAACTCTGGTTGTCAGAAGTCCACATGGAGCACCCAAAACAGAACTGCAAAAGTAAAACCTAGTTTAAAACAAGCTGGATCTAAAAGTTCAGGAACTGTGGGTGGGCAAAGAAACAAGAATTTCAAACGTAAAAGGAAGGCTAGTTGTGCAGAACCTCCTAGAAAGAAAGCAGTGTTGCACAGAAGGTGTAAACAAAAGAATCAGACTGCAATTGTTAGTGAATCAGGTAGCCCTTACAAACCAAGGGCATCAAAAAAAACTGTGAGGACTTTGAAATTACTCCCTTTTAATTCTAACCAGCTTATAAAATGCCCTCGGAGAAATCAACCAGTTGTTGTGCTTAATCATCCTGATGCAGATGTTCCAGAAGTTGTAAATGTAATGAAAACTATTGCTAAATTTAAGGGACATGTTCTTAAGGTTTTATTGTCAAAAAGAACTGTTGATGCTCTTCTGCAGCCAGACTTCTGCAATCCTTCAGATGTAACTACTGATAATTTTTCTCAAAAAAGATACAGGACAATAAAACCCCTTAACCCTGTAAAAGAAAGATTTGTCTTAAAATTGACGCTGAAAAAGACTAGCAAAAACAATTACCAGATTGTGAAAACTACCTCTAATAATACCTTGAAAGCTAAGTTTAGCTGCTGGTTTTGTGGTAGAATATTTGACAATCAGGATAATTGGGTAGGACATGGACAGAGGCATCTGATGGAGGCGACTCGAGATTGGAATTCATTAATGAAATGAGGAGCAGTGAAGAAAATAGTCATTAAAGTTAAAAAAAAAAAACCCAGTTGGATTAGAATACACAGGTCATTCTGTTTTGTATGTCAGTATTGTAACTGAGGTTGAAAAAGGATGCAAAGTGCTTGTGTTTTAAAATTTCCTATTGCCATCAGATTTGAGAAAGATCAAAGAACATTGTGGTTTAAATAACTTGTAACTAACTGCAAATACAATTCCATAAAAATATATATTATTTTTATTACTGCTATCATGTGCTATATTTTTATTCTATAGAACGAGTCTTCAGGGCCTTTGTTCTGTACATACTTAAAATCCCTAAATCTGTAAATATTTTTATACTTTTCAGTTACTTGGTATAATTCTTGCACAGAAATTACACCCTTTTCCCCAGTTTTTCAGTTCTGTGCATGCACTACTAAAACCAATTTTAAAATATTTTCAAATACACACAGCTGTTATCCTGGGATTTTTGTTACTTTCACTTATTAGCTCTTGATTTTATTTTTCAGGGATTGAACACTATTATTAGCAAGTGCCTCAAAGATGTGAAGCAGTTTACATTATGTTGACTGTGTAACCATGGGTCCGTATAGGGCCATTCCCCCACAGTTTCATTTAAACAAAGCCATATGTGAATGCTTTAAGCTATTTTGCTATGCACATGACACTTGTACTATTTCTGTGCAGTTTGTCTACTTTCTTAGTGAAGTATTTTTCATATAAATTAATAAAACATGTTATGATTGTGTTAATACGGTGAGTCAGAATGAAATTGATTGAAAATATACAGTATATATATTCATAATGTATATGGTGTTTAAGAATGGTGAACATTCCTAATCTGTATTGATTTTGTTACTATTAAATTTGCTATAACTTGTGTTTACAGCATATGACTTTGAGCATTTATAGAAAATGTTTCTATTTTGTTATGTCTGCCACAAACTCTACAGGGATGGTCAGGATATGGGGAGGTGCAGAGCACCATTTTAGGCTTGTAATTGCATCATAACTTTATTTCAGGTGGATGTAATTTGTCCCCATAATGACTTAATGTTTTCTACTATTGCTTATTCAGATGTACTGCCTCTTGGGGCACCAGGGGTTTGGCAAAAGCAAGGCTCGAGTTACCCTTCCCTTATTTTACCATCCAGAAGGGTAATGTTCTTAGGGGTCTGCTTGCTTTCTGCTTTCAGTTTTAGATATAATGAAGACAGACTATGCATTACAGTTTTTAATCCTTATATGAGGGCATGTAAGCAAAAGACCTCTTAACCATAGTGTCTGAGGGTATGCAGATTAGAGTCCTTATTATCCACAGTAATTATGTCTCGAGGCTTTGTCCTCCAGATTCTCAATGAACCTTTGTAGGCTAGAAGTTTCAGTCTTACGTGGGATTGCTCTTACCATATGGCTGGCACCTTTTGCCCAAGTATGAAGGTGTAAGCCAGCTTCCCAAAGTATTGATGGAAAAGCTGTCAAAATTGAATAGTAGGCGTGGAGAGGACTGGGGCATTTAAGTTGTGGGGTTTAGATTGTAAGGAAGCCTCAGCAATTTTCTGTTACTGGTTCCTTAAGGAGCAAATGAAGATTGCTTGCTGCCAGTGAAACAGTAAGAAGTCATGGCTGTCACAGGCATGTCACCACTAATCTGAATTCAACTTAGATTTTAAAAAGTGTTAAAATTACCTAAAAACAATTGCTTCAGTGATTAGATAAATTTTTCTTTCTTGATATGTGTGTTGGCAGGAAGATGTACACTAGCCTTGCAGCTGGTGAGTTATGTATGGAAGACAACTGAAGCAGTCAAGGCAGCGTAGTTTGGGTGAATTAATACACAGTTGGTATGTGTTGTGTATGTAACTGGATCATTTTGTGCTGCACAGTGGGCTTGAGCTCTGATGTTACTTTAGCTGGAAACTTTGAAGAAGACCAGTGTAGTGGTGAGGAAGCAGGTTGGAAAGAAACAGCGTTAGGAAAGGATAAAAACATGTTAAGCTAGAAGGATCTATTGTTTGCCTCAGCTTGCTCTTCTGTAAACTTTGAAATTGAACCTGTGAATTTTTGACATTGCCTTTGCCTTCTTTGCAAAAAATATATGTGAAGTTTGTTTCTAAACCTACTTGGTGCAATTTCAGCAAGGATGACCAGTTTTTATTAACAATTACTTAGCACTGAGGTGGAAGTTCTGCTGTAGCATTAGGGGGTTTTCTCTGTATTGATGAATCATGAGAGTGACAAGTGTCACTGAAATTTTTTTCAGCTTGTTTGTTTTTGTATGAATTGACCTTAAATGGTACTGTGAAAGCATTGTAAAGCTAGGAAATGTTGAAGTAAGGTTGCTTTGTATGATCTTAATTAATTGGCACATGTCACTTTTTGCATGGACGTCCATCTCATTCAGTGCAGAGAATTTTTGCTTCCTCCTGGGCAGCGATTCAGTGTTTTGTTTCCCCACCCTTAATTAGGTCCTCGTATTATTTAGTGCAGCTTGCTCAAGTACTGTTCTAAATATACAGTTTTATTCTTATGGCCTTTTTCATTGTTGTTGGAGGTCCTTAGAGTTCAGCATTTCTGCAGATCAGGTTTCAGAAAATCTCAAGTGGGCCTTCACTGAAATTGAGATCACAATTAATTACCATCAGGAGAAAATTTGGTTGAAGCGATCTGACCTCTGTTGCAGTAGATGGTGTGGTAGAAGATGCAGGGAAAATATGTTCAGTTCTTCAGTTCAGCTACTCTAACTGTATGAAGCCACCTTTTTACTGGCTGACTCCTGCAATGTTGGTGCATTCCTCAGCATTTTCAGTAAATGGGGAAAGGTATCCTACAAATATCCTACAAACCACAGTTTTTTGTTATACAGCTACAATTTATCCCTGAAGTATTGCATGAACCAGGTGAAACACATAAATCCATATGGAAAAATGTTGATTGTATATTTAATGCTTGTACTGTAATGGATGTAGCATGGTGTGATAAGGTTGCACAGGTAACTTGAAGTGTCTTGACTTTGAGTGCTTGACTATGCAACCGCAACATTTTAAAATAGTTTGTAACATTGCAAATAGCAAGATAAATCTTAAATTGATTATATTGTTTTGGGACATACAAAAGAGGTGCAAGCACATGGTCATCAACCCTTTGTATGATCTTGAAGAGGCCTAAAATCTATTCCATTATGTGTTCTTGGCAAGATGTGTATTCATCAGTAAGTCATGGTGCCCTTCCTCAGTAATTCCAGTGTTTTAACAAAAATTTGTTACAGAGTGGTTGTTATGTGACACACTTTTTTTCTTAACAACGCTTCCTAAAAATCTGTTTTTGCTGCTGATGCTTCTGATTGAAGGAAGAATGTAGTTTTGTACCTTGTGTCTCTGAACACTTGGATTTTTGAGAATGCAAGTTCTTACTCCTTTCATGGAGCAACATTGTCAGGATATGCAGTACTCATTGTACTCTCTGTATCAGGTAGGCAGACACCACTTCTCCTTTGTGCATTAAATATGACACTTTGCCCTCAGTTCTCAGACAAAAGAATTCATTTTTAGTTCTAGGTTTATGGGTTGCTTGTGTGTATTTTTTTGGTGTGAGGTTTTGGTTTTTTTTTGTTTATTGTTTTGTTTTGTTTTAGCTATTCAGTGAATGATAAATTATATGGAAGGGAAATTAGCTAACAATATCACAATATCAAAGAAATAAGAGGGAAGAGGTGTGTTGCTGTGTCTGTCAGGTCAGACTTGCTATACCTGATACCTGGAGCACACACGTGGTGGCATTAAGATGACTGCTGGCACTGCAACAGCCACACCAAGTCACCATTTCCTGCATTCTGTAATGGCTTTTCAGCCCACAGCACTGGGATTTTTAACTCAACAGGCTTCATCCTGCGACTATTTTATATCCAGAACGTAGGAAATGGTAACTTGGTACAGTCCTACACCTGAAACTTAAACCTTCTCCAGATAAAACTGTTTCAAAATACATCTGCACCATAGTCCTGCCAAACTATAACAGATCTAGCTTGGGTATGGAAAGCAGAGTAACCAGTCTGCTGCCTTTGTTCCTGTACAAAACAACAGCTATAGTAAAGTCAGTGATAACATGCTGGTGTGTTTGTGTGTGTGTTTCGGGGGAGGGGGGGGGGATTTGTCCCCCCAACGAGCCTTATTTTGTGCCCAAGAAGTTCTCATTTCAGGCTGACTGGATTATTTTGTGGAAGGTTATGTTACTTACCTGCTCCCTGCCTTGTTTTGTTGTCAAAACTATAAGGTAGCCCTATAATCATGTAGAACATGGATAAAAAGTAAAGTAAGGTTTGAGGATGAAGGTAAGTGGCCCCTTTCTCTAGAACATATTTATTATTTTTAGGTCAGCCTTATATGTAGTATAAGTATATATAATATACAGTATTATATGGAGTGCTGAGCACTCACAGCTGAAGGGCAGGAGCAGCAGTGCTTTAAAGTGCTCAGTGCTAATTACCTTAAAAAAGTGATACCTCGTCTCTTGTATGAAAGATACACATGTGAATTTCCCTTGTTCACACTATTTTTTTCCCTCCAGTTCTAGAATGATGGAGATACTGCATACTTAACTTGGAAAGAATGTTTGAAGAATCTAGAGATTTTGAGGAGCAGCAGAAAGGTTAGCAGACAGACAGTTAGTACCAAGTTTAAATACTGTGCAGTACATGAGTGAAAGGCAAGGACTACATGAATGCAAAGGAAGTTAAATACTCAGTGACTACTTTTCCAGAGTACTTCCATTGTGAGTATTGCTTGAAATAGCTTCTAAAGTGATGCTTAAAGTAGCTAAATAATATAGCACACATATAGAAAGAGTAAATAAAACTTGCAGAGACTACTGTTAATTTTTACACCTTGACTTGGCAATCTTAACGGTCTAAACATTTCAGTAGTATTAAACGTAGTATTAATATAAAACTAATACCAATGAGCAATATACTGAACACGGCCCTTATGTAGCACTGTGATGGTTTGTCATAGATAGGATTGTGTAGTCTGTATGCCTTGTTTCTTACTTGCAGTGTGTTATCCATTACATTTGGGTAAGTGTTGCCTGTGCTGCAGAGGGAAGAAGCTGACCTGCCTCAAGGTATGTAGGCAGCCATGTGCTGAGCATCCTGTTGGCACACAGTTCTTACTAGAAGACAGGTGCGTGACTTTTAGAAGTAACTGATCAAAAGCAGAAGAAAGTGTTTGCAGAATTCAGCCACCCTATGGCCCTAAGTGACTTGCTGAGACTTTGCAGGTCTTGACTCAGTCTTGCCTTTAATGCCTTGAATATAATCTTAGAGAACACTACCTAATTTGGAACAAAAAGAACAAACTAAGTATGTATAAAGTGTCAGTTTTGGAAAATACTTTTAAGATGGAGTCTTCAGGTCCAGTGAAATCAAACACTGCTAGAACTAGTTAACAATCACTCCTAAAAATTTTTCATTGATGCAATTTATACATTCCTCAAATTAATTTTTGCCACTTGAATATTTGTGGAAGTTTACTTTGTTCACAATATTATAGTAAGTATAGAACAGGCTATCATATAAAAAAGTGGGGTTTTTTTCCTGTGTCTCCATAAAACAGTAATTCAGCAGGAAGTGAGTAATTAGTTTAGCAATGATGCAGTGCACCTGGGTCATCAGCAGTAGGCAATTTGAAGACAAAAGATTTGAGAGTCATTAAGCCAAATTATGTGTGTGTGTAATATATGAGATAAACTTGTAAAAAGTGATACTTTTTCATAACATTGTGAAGGAGCACATAAAAATATATACATTAAAATGTCAACAATAGTGAACTGATGCTTTCTTGCTGGAAGGGTGCCAGAAATGCAATCCAGCAAAGTCTCCATACAGTACTGAGTTTACAGTATTTTTAAATTTTATTTTTACATTTGAAAATACAAACAAATATATCAGTGGAACAAAAATATCAGTGAAACAGGGTGAAGCTGAGGGAAAGTACAACACATGTCCATAAATCTAAAACATTCAGGTGGATTTATTGCCACTAATCAAAGTACAGTCCTATTTTCAACTTGAGTACAGTGGTACATTAGGTCAAGTTGCTCTAATTTCTGGGGCTGTGCACTTTACAAATAAATTGCTGAAAGCAGTGATATGTGGTAAACATAAATTGAAAGAATAGATCACTGTAGGTATTCTCATTTTTCAAATGAAAATATCCTTCAAGAAATCTATCTTCCAACAGCAGTCAGAGGACCTTCCTGTAACTTTGGATACCCATGTTGTCACAGATGACAGTGTATCTGCTTTGGCTTCTTGTGTTAAACTTCTCTGAAAAAAGTGACGTGGGGTTGAACTCTATGAAATGCATTTCTCACTACTCTGTAGGGGCTCTTGAAGAGTGTTTCCCATCATTTTGGATTTTCTTCTTTTAATAGCTTGTCCACGTCTCGGTATGTTGAAAGAAATTATTAAAGAGGTCTTTATTTCAGCAGTTCAGTTCGATTAAGAAATTCTTACAATATATTTCAGTTTTGTTGAGTCTTTTGTGTTGTTTTGGCTGTCAATTAGAACCAGGGAGGTGCGCTGATGATTCTCTACTATTTCAGCAACACTGTCGAAGCGCTGGATAAAGAAAAAAATAATTAGTGCTGGCTTCCTTTAATGCCGTAATATTGACAGTAACCACTGCATCTTTTTATCTTTGCTTCAATTCTCATTTTTAGTAGTGTTGTGGGGTTTTGTTTTTTGAGCATGGCTGTTCTTCCTTTGCAATTTTCCAAGAAACGTAACTAGAGTTTTAGATAGAAGGTAAATGGAGGACCATAAACAGTCAAAAAATTATCTAGCAGCTGCAGCTCTTATCCTTTCAACTTTATTTAAACACCTCTATGAGTATGTTTAGAATTTGATCAGTGGTTTTGGTTACCATGTACAGGAGCTGTTCTAACACTGGTTTCTCTAGCTTGACAGATTGGTCATTATAAAGGGTATATTTTTATCTTCATACATGAAGAATCTTTGTGGTCATAGCGCAATATACCTTAGTCCTTACTTATTAAAGGTATATAATTAAAAACTGTAAGGAAAAATACCCCCACATCATCTCACCTCTTCACCACTTTTTTCTCTGCCCAGTGCATATTGCCTTGTTGATTCAATAAATCTTATAGGAATGTTGTACACTCTTCTGTTGTAAAACACAACCAGTGTATATGGTTGCCGTGAGTCCTGCCCAGAACTCTTCCTTATTAGAAAAGATCCATCCTAAAGAGAGAAAAGTAGTCAGTGTATTAGGCTCATTTCTTTCCAACAACTTAGTCTGGTTTTGGCTTAATATTTTGATTTATATTATTATTAAACCCTTTTCTCCCATTAGAAAAATAACAGCAGCAGATGAGAAATAGTATGTATTCCTGCTAACAGTAGCTTGCAAAGGAATCAGCTTTGCTGCTGCCTGTTCTCTCTCTCAACCAGAGAGAAAATGAAGAAATAAATACACAGTGGCAGCCATCTGTTGTGATCCACAGATTGTTAGGGAATAGTTCCTATCAGTGGCAGTAGGTAGGGAAGAAAGCAGGGAGAGGTGAAGACACCATTTCTCCAGAGCTGTAAAAGAGCTCACCCAGTCAAGCACCCACAGTCCTGACCAGGTAGCCCTGTGCTCACTAACTCACAGTAGCCTTCACCTGGTGATAGCCCCCAGGCTCTGCCCCTTATCCTTCTATGTGGACTTAGGCAAGAGTGGAATGTACTTGATGCTGAGGATGCAACTCTACATGCTCCTCTTCCCTCCTGTGACACTAGATTTTGTACAAAGAATAGCTGAGAAAATTCAAATTCTCCAAACACCTAAATGCACAGTGTTGCTATTTCAAAATGCGTAACACCACCAGCCTTTCCAAATAGCTGTTTTCACATGAGCCACTGGACAGTGGTGGAGACCACTTAAAAGCCACTGGGCTTTGCATTTCTTTTAAGGGGGTGTGCATGAGCTGTAAGATCTCCCTCAGCTCTCTAGTCTCTAACAGCTTTCTCTGCAGTGCTTTGAGTTGCACTAATGCAACTTGGTGTTGCAATGAAAGCCAGCATTAACTAATGTCACCACAATAAATCCAGGTTTGACAGTACTTGCAGGGCACCTGTTCAGAAGGTAACTGATGCTCTTTGAATACTTCTTTGTCTTTTACAACTGATGCTCTTTGAATACTTCTTTTGTCTTTTAAACATATTTTTATTTGAAGCTTTGGGGTTTTTTTTTTCCATAAAACAGACATTCTTTAAAAGTGACCTACCTTGTTTGATCGGTACAATGCATCCTCTGCCATTTTCCTATCACAGGTAGCAGCATACCATGCTTTACTGTGAACACCAGCATCCTAAAAAGAGAGGAACAGTGTTTCACCTGTAACAATAATAATAATAGTAATAAAGAATATAGCCTGTAGGGGAGTTACTGCTAAACAGTGACAGCTATGAAGAACTAAAACGCAGAAAACTGAAGAGTTTAAAAAAGTCTTTGCCACGAGTTCACAGTTTTAGTTGAGTAGAGGTGGGGCAAAGAAAAACTGGGAGTGTCAAAACAGTGGTAACAGATTTGTGATAGAAGGCTGATAAATGACAAAAGAGATGCCCTGACCAAAGCAGTCAGGCTCAACTGTAGGATCGTTCTAAAGACAAAAGCTATTCCAGTAGAATTTAAAGAGGAGTAAATGTTGAGAAATGTTAAGGAATAACGCTCTTTGTGAACACAGTCATGATTGTCTCCACATGGACAGCATGATGGTTGGCTAAGTTTTGGTCCAGCTTTACAGTAACAAGCTTAATGATAAAATTAATTTTCACACAAGCTTTGTCACCTCTGTACAAATTATAACTGAGCTGGTCTAGCTGACTTACTGCTGCCAGAAAGAGAGTGTCTTGGCTTCTCCTTTGTGCTCATTTTGTTGCTCTGATCCCATGGTGAGATAATTCACTTTATTAAACTTGGAGAAAAAAAACAAAAAAACTTTCCTTTTTTGTTTTGCCTTTTTTTGTGTTTGACTGCCAAGCTGATTTTCTGTCAGTTTAATGACTTGGCTCAACCCACTGCAGGATCAAGAAGGAACACCATAGAAGCTGGGAGGGGAGCTGACACTGAAGAGAGAGCAGAGCCTCAATTTTAGGGGCACTGCACTCAATTCTTAGACTGGCTCAAGCCACAACATATAATTTTACCTTCAAAAATTTTCCATTTATTTCTCCAGTCACACTATTCATTGGAAAAAGAAAGGCTGAGAGGAATTGCAGATATGAAAGGTACTTGTCCACGCAGAGAATAAGTCCAGTGTACATCTCTTTGTTCAACAAAAGAAGGAATCAATGGCCCCCAGACCTTTCTTCTACCACAGTCTGTGGCCTACAATGTAGAAGCAGAGAGCTGCTGCCAAAATTTGGATGGGAACCAAGCAAAGAATCAATGTAATGGGAATGAATGACATCTGTGAGCACCTGTATTGTGCAGGATGCTACAGCAAATGATACCACTGTATACAATTGCTGGGAAAATAACACTAACAGCTAATTTTTTTAAACAAAATGGATCTTTTATTAAGTTCTGTTTCTGCCCACGGCTGTTACATAAAAATTGCAAATGTAATTGCTACAACCTGTTATGTAGAGTGTTCTGGATTGCTTATTTGAAAGTAATTTTTATAATAAATATCTAGTATTACATACAGTTAAAATTTTTCCAGAACTTCAAATCCTTTTGTTCTTCAATGTTGTATTATCTTTGTCATGTCAGACTTTAGAACACTTACTGTTACTGGATGTGCACGATAGAGCCTTTGGTTTACACTCAACAGAACTATTTTTACCTTGTTTGTGACTACCAGATTTATAAGAACAGCTTTTTGCATTTTATAGTCTCCCTTCATCCAAAATGAGAATAAGGGGAATAGCACTGAAATGAAAATAACCTTCCATTTGCTTAGATCATTCAAAGCTTAATGTTGCAACGAAACACATAAAAAAAAGAATTGGCCATAAAACTAACAGAATTAACTGTAATGAGATCTGTTTAAAGGAACAGAAAGGAGCTGGACTTGGGAGAGACTAAAACACGTAGGGGAGGCATTGCAGCATCATTGTATTTGCTTACTGCACCTTTTTTTTCCTGCACACAATTTGTACAGCTATAAGTTAGAAAAAAGGACATGATTAAAAACTCTTTATAGCAATCAATATCAAAGACTAGACTTAAGTACATCACCACAGATTTCCTAGTTTCAATGATGTTGAAAGTATGAACTGGAGAGTCAGGAAGACATGAAACTAAAGCTTTCTGTGATTGGTAGGGTGACAAGATTTAATGTAATACTATTTACATATTTTTCTACAGTTTGTTAAACCTCTCCTATGCTATGTGTTCTGAGCATGTTTTAATGAAAGCTAACATTCAGATTATTTGTGCTACAAAAAAGCCTCACTGCAAAAGGGGGCATAGAAGCCCTCCAGGAGTGTAATTTTCTATTACTATTGGTGGAAATATTATTTTATAATAAAGGATAAGGAGATTTCTGTAATATGAATTTAGCTAATATTATACCTGGTCCACAGAACTTGAAATAGATGAGGTGCTGCTGGGAGGGGAAGCACCCAAAGAACGGTTTGCAGCTTCCGGCACTTCTAGGAAAGAGGAAGAACAACACGTATAAGTTTTCAAAGCATGTTTGTTATGATGTAAGAAATTGAATTGTTACAAGGGACCTGTCTAAGTGCTGGGACACTTGCCTGCCCAAAGGGCAGCTAGCCTTGCTTGTGAAGGAAAACCAGGCTGGATAACAATTTGCTTATTAGCCAGAACTAGACTCAGAGTACAGGAAAAACCTCTTCCACCATCAAAGTGAATGAATGTAGCAATAGGTAAGAAAATGCAGGAACTTGATGCAAGTAATTCTCAGTCCACTGTGAGAAGCAGTCTTACAGGTGAGCAAGTCAGGAAAATGAATTTATTTCAGAGATAATTTTTCACCAATTTAGACTGCCTGAATTGTTTGTATACATGTGCAAGAAGTCCAGGCAGAAAAAAGAAGCAGAATTAATAGAAAACTTTATGATGCTTAATTGGAATAACAAAGCATAGTTGAAAATAGTTACTAGGGCTAAAATACAGATGTAAGAGTTTAAGAAATCAGAAGTGAAATGTTCAAGTAGTGTTGCCTAGTAATTATATGATGAAAGAAGTATGGATTATTGCTTTCTGGTAAAAAAGAATTTGGCCCAACAGTGTTGGTGCCTGCTACAGGTACTTGTGAACACAGCTGGATGCAAATCAATATACTAGAGAAGATCATTGTAGAAAGTTGAGTGATACTCATTTTGTTATTATTGGAGGTTTTTTTTTCCTGTGTGCTTTACTTATTAAGGAAAACAAATGCTACCCTTTCTGGATATGGTGCTCTGCAGACTTCATTGTTAAATCTTCACCAATAAATTTGTGATTTAGATATTGGTTTAGAAAGCAATAGAATGTTATAGAGAAGACCACAACTAAAAAATGCAGTTGGACTGGAGACAAAGACAATTGTGTGAAGTACTTCTTTTGTAGTAAAGATGCAATTGTCTGGAAACTGCATCCCAAGTGGAGGGGAGACATTGTAGGGAGCAGTTTCAGCTCTCAATGAATTAATAATCACCTGAAGAAGGCTATTCAATATTATGGATTTTGGTTTTTCTGTCAAATTTTGACTGACTGGCTGTTAAAGCTACATCTGAGAGCAGACTGTAGGAATAAAGCAAGAATTGACAGAAGTCAGACAGATTACTGACGAAAGGATAAGTAATGAAAGATGCCTTGGCCGTGTGTAAAAAAGAAAAGAGGGTGGGGCTTTATTCAGTAAGAATTTTATTGATTTTAAAGATAATCTAGTTACTAAACAAATAGTAGTTCTGGCACAGAAACTGAAATTCCCACAATCAAATTGGTAGCAGAGCTTAAATAACTTTAGTACAATTGAACTGATGGGCCCAGATGATCTTTACCTATGAAATTTAAAAAACTGGCACATGAAATTCAGGGGTGGTAACAGTTATTTTACGTAATTTTCAAGTCAGGATGGTACCAAATGATTAAAGAATACCAAACATAATTGCTATGCCTAAAGTGAAAAAGTGACTTGAGCATCTACAGGGCTTTTTGCCTGACTCCACAGAACACAAGGCCCTAGGAGAGAATTTGAAGGAAGTAACATCAAGATTTGGAAGTAAAGGTACAACAAGAAAGAGAAAATCTGAATCTTAGCCAAGTAGATAAAATGTTACAGCTCTTTCATAGAATAACAGAGCTCTGCAAAGAGGGGATGTGGCAGTGTACTTAATCTGGACTTCAGAAGAGCTTTTGACACTGTGCCATATGGGAAGTGAGTACTTTTAATGATGAAGGTGGAAGTTGGCTCTAGGCTTGTATCCAAAGAGGAGATGGCAGGTTATGCTGAAGGAACATCAGTGATTATGGGAGCAGTGGTGTGTATTATAAAGTTGTTATTGGACCTGGCACTGAGTAAGATTATGCAGAATAAAGTTTACTAATCAGAGCACCATTCAGCACCAGATGGTCTTGAAGAATAGTTACAGTTCCAGAAGTTGTAAGAATTTATGCTTCAAGTTGAAGCACATCAGTTGTGTGATGGGAGCAGACTGGAGTGCACCAGTCAAGAGCATTAATGTGAACCTTATATTAATGTGAACTTCCTCAGCACAGGAGATATAATTGCAACATGCATCAAGCAAATGTTTCCAGGAAAGAGTTACACTAATAACAGCATGTCAGTTTAAGCTACACCAAATGTAGATTTATGTGCCATTCTCACCATCTGTTTACAATGTGAAGGATATGTTCAGACTGAAGATGTACAGTAAAGAGTTTACAGGAAGGTCAGACAAGTGTCTGCTAACAAGCAACTAGAAAAATGTTGAATCTAATTTACACTTCTATATAAAGAGGATTTATATACATATTATCTAATTCGTTTTTAGCTGTGAACTGAACAAAGTCCATTTTGGAAAGCACTACTTAGAAAACAGCATTAGCAATTGCTATTATAAAAGTACCTTCTTTTTTCCTTCTGTAGAAAAAGAATAAATTGAATGTAATAATAATCTGTCTGTCTTGTAGGCAACAGAAGCCTGGAGCAGCCCAGAAATGTCATATTTAGGATTCTTCTGTGACAAGGAAGATTGATGGAATCTTTATTAAGATGGGAAATGACCCAAATTGCCTTTGCTAGAGATTTCCAGTATTCATAAATATAAATGAAGCACCCACTTTCCATCAATAACCCTGAGATACTCCCTTAATTTTACTAGCTGAGCTAAGATCTTGGATACTTGACCTCCTCTTTGAACACATTACAGATACACTAATTCCAAACTGATTAATATGCAAGGTATTTTGAAATAATTTTAATTCAAATATTGATTTGAAATTACAAGTTAATCACATTTTAATTAAAAAACTGAATTATACTTACTCGGCAGAATTGAGGGCTTTTGTAGCAGAGGCCTGAAATAAATGTCAAGAGATTACAGAAAGGTCTGAGAGGATGTACTCAGTCCTGATAATATGAAAACTGAAAATATGCAGTGGTAGAATGTGTTCCATCTCACCTATTTGTTCATTGAGAAACATGGGTCTGATACAGGTATTTCAAAAAAGTGATATCCCACTAGTAGGAATTTAAACATGTGTTTTAAATCTCCATCACCTTATTACAGATTATGTCCCCTCATGCTTTTTGGTGATGGTTATGGTATTTGTATGCATTCATTTGCCATGTTTTATTTTTTTGCTACTGTGAGGTACTGTGAGGCTTCAAGAGTCTCAGCTCTGAGAAAGCAACAAGGAGGCTCCAGTGAAAAGAGTGCTCCCCTTTGAGCCTCTCACAGCTGGTGCACTGCAATATTCCCCAGAGGATGGAAAGGGATCTTACTTTTGGGCACCACTTGGAAGAGGTGGAAGTGGAAGTTCCTGGCTGGAATTGCGCCGTCGTTCTGGTGCCATGGGTTTTTCTGTGGTTTGGGAAAACAAACAGTAGAGTCAAGATTCCTTCAGAAATAAGTTATCCCAGGTTAGGGAGTCCCCATAGGTGAAGGAGGCTTTTTTTACTATAAATTTGGGTTTTTTTCTGACACGGCAGCTTGCCATTGCGCTGCTGTTAACTAGTTCTAGGCAAATACCTGTGCTATGGATGCCTGCAGGGCTCGTGGGACTCTGTGACACGGGGGAGGGCAGCCAGCCCGCAGTGAGGCAGCAGCTCCTGCCTCACACAGACACGGGCACAGGCACAGCCAGGATGGGATGGATTCCCTGCCCCTGCCAGGGACTGCTGCTGGCCAGGAGTCACTCCCTGAGGGACGGTTCTGGCTGAGTTCAGAGCCCGTCCCTCCCTTCCCCTTCTCCGCTGCCCGGGCTCCATGGCACACTGCTGGTCCATTACTGTGCTGCATTACCCTGCCAGTAACCTCGGCAGCTCTGCTGCGACTGCTCTCAGAGAACAATGATGCTCACTGCAACTAAGGCTGCCCAGATCCAGTTTGAAACTGCTAAAACCAAACACCCCTCCAAAACCTACAGTAACTTGAATGTGGTGCTGTTTGTTTCACGTTTTTAGTAAAAAAAAAACCAAACAGATAAATGTCAACTTTTCACATTAGTGGCTATAGTTTACCTTCATTTGCAGTTAAGGTCTCTCTGGAAGGTAAACACGGTTTCTGCAGTGAAAGAGAAGGGCAACCAAGTATTAACTGGCACTTGTACAGCAAACGTTTATCATTTAGACTTTTTATGAAACAGTTTAGAATTGACAACATCCTGGAAGAATTAGGAGGCAGGAATGTAACCATTCTGTGAAGAATCTCTAGTTGTATGACCTTGAAGTTTGGGATTTTGCAAAGGAGATTTGGAAAGAATCCCAGCTTGTGGGTATAAATAGATGGAGAAAAACTAAAATCTAGATGGTTCATTCTTGTCTCAGGTGCTAAAATCAGAAGTCTTTCCCAAATACTTGAAAATGAAAATTGGATTTTCACCCGTACTGAACTATGCATACAAATATCTGAACACATTTTCTTCTGTTTACTGGAAGTTAAACTGTCAGTTTAGCTCACAGTAAAACTGGAACCAATCTTCCACTTTTAAATTTTTTTTTTGCTTTCATTTTGAAACAATGATAATAAACTGCCAGTTGTGAAACATTTTTTGAATTAATTTCTTTGAGAATTTCAACCAGTCCTCTTACTTTCTGCCACAAGAAGTTTTGGGGTATTTTTCGAATTACTGAAAAACTTCACACAAATTCTGGTAAAAACCTGCATATTTCTTGAGCTATCACTTTCAATGAAGTCATGTGCTCCATAGGCAGCTCTGTACATTCTGGGAGTATTTCTGAATTGTGTGTATTTCCATCTATTTCTCATTTATTCAGTTCATGCACTGTGTTTATTGTTACATCCCGGGGCATTGAATTCAAACATTGCTTTGATCAAAATATTTTTCTGCTTGAGGAGAAAGATCACTGCTCTTCATTCATGTAATAGCACCCAAATATTTCCTGTCTTTATAACTCTTCCCCCTAGTATTTTTTGCATTTATCTTGTAACCAAACACATGATAAAATTAAGTTTTACAATATATTAAAATTATAATAAAATTTTTGGGTGGTTATGCAATTACAAATCAACTTACTGGTGAAATTACTGCATTAGAAGCTTTCTTGCTGAAGTATGGAGGAAAAAGAAAAATAAAGAATATGGTTACTTAGCAGATATATGGATTCATTTAGCAACTAAGCATCAGTTTCACTGGTTCTCAGGGTATTTCTGTCTAAGATGGGATTAACTGGATACTCGTAGCAGTTACAAACAAAGAAGAATGAAAAAGGAATAAGGGTATTATCAGATGCACTGTGGGCACTCACTAAAGGTACTTACACAAGGAAGCTACAACTCTGCCCAATACTTAACATGACTTGGGAGGGCAGGAGAACTTGGTGAAAGCTTTCTGCACCTCCAGGCTTGCATGTGCTAGTGCTGCAGTACGGGAGTAAATCAGACAAGGCAGCCAGCATCTGCCACCAGTGGCAGGCAGCGAAGGGCAAGGCCACTTGGCACACAACCAGTATTCCTCCAGAAAAAGCAAAATAACAGCTTGCCTTTACCAAGTCAGGGTATCTTTCACGAACAGGAATAAATATTATTCCTGAATTCTAATTGCTACAGGCAAGGAGTTAGCTCCTAATACACCTATTAAACCCATCTCCAGCAAAGAAGTGCTTTTATAATTTTTTACTCACAGGCCCCTTGGTAATGGAGATGGAGCTGCTCCAGTGGTAAATCTGGATTCTTGTGTGTTATTGAACCTTTGACCTAGAGATGTAAACAATATATTTAGTATGCAATGTGAGCTGTATCTGAACCGTGGATTTTCCTCATTGCCATTTTAGTGTTAATATAATAAAGGTAAAAAATATCCATTGCTTTAATTTTTTTCTTAGCATGTTTTCAGTCTGATTATAGAGTAGAACAGTTCAGTAACACTTCTTGCTTATTGCTGACTGTAGAGATAAAATTTACACTGACACACTAACGGCATGCTATATTCTCCTACCTGGTGGCATATCAGTCCCTCTCATATTGCTGTGTTTGCATCTGAATACTTACTTTCATCAGTATTGTTTGCTTCATGGTCCTGTAATGGAAAAATAGGTTAGATTTGATATGAAGGAATTAAAAAAGGAATTGCTGTGTTCTGTTTTTATTTCTTCATTACCAGAAGGACACAGAGGTAATGGAGCAGAGAAGGGCAACAAGGCTGGTGAAAGGACTGAAGCACAAGTCTTATGTGGAATGGCTGAGGGAGCTGGGCATGTTTAGCCTGGAGAAAAGGAGGCTCAGGGGTGTTGCTATAGGACACAAGACAACACGACGCAGACACACTGCTGTTCTCAGGCCAGGAAGAGAGAGATTTATTTTCTGACTCCTACTTTTATAGATTTCCAAAAGTATCATAGGATTGGAGGGTGAAAGTGCCACCTCTCCAGGGACACTGGACAATCGAGCAGTCCCTCAAGTTTCTCCTCCTCCATAGAGGAATGCAAAACAATAAGTTGTTTATAGAAAGTGTGTGAGAAAGTTTTAGACAAGAATGCAAACATCAGAAGGCTTAGAAAAATCTTAAGAAAGCAAGGCGACACAGGGGCTCTCTACAAGTACCTGAAAGGATGGTTATCAGTCTTTTCTCCCAGGTAACAAGAGACAGAGGAAGAGGAAATGGCCTTATGCTACACCAGGAGAGGTTTAGATTAGATGTTAGAAAAAATGTTTTCACTGAAAGGGTGGTCAGGCATGGAATGGGCTGCCCAGGGAAGTGGTGGAATCACCATCCTTTTTGGTTTTCAAAAGCCATGTGTATGTGGCACTTACAGACATGGTTTAGTGGTGAACACGGTGGCTGGACTAACAGTTGGAACTTGATTTTAGAGATCTTTGTCAGCCTGAATAATTCTTTGATTATTAAATGAGAACTGCATGAATAATCAACATGGTTTTGGTATCTGTAGTAATTTTTAAAGAAATATTTGTTCAGAAGTCATATAGTATCCAGAAGACTTTTGTGATGTCATTTGAAAAATTTTAAGCAACCATAAAATTTCAAACTTTCTAATAATCTTGAGATTTCATGTAGTAAGTATTGAGAAAATTTGGCCTTAGTTTTGCACTGAGTTAGTTTTGATCCATGTTTAATTTCTGAGCTGAAAGACTAAAAATACATCTTCCACTGAATCGAGGAAACTGAGTAGACTCTCTTGTCACCATGCTAGAATTGAAGCAATCCAACTAATATCCTGGATTCTTTGGGAGATGCTTAATTTTGGCTCCCATTTCTTGACTTTTAGGGAATCAAGACTCCCATCTGGTAAGTATCTTTCAAAGAAGCACCAGTTATTAATTTGTCTGTCTTTTTCTACCCAGCTAATGGTTTTTTACTAGTGACAAATGCATCCATTCTCTGGCTGGAGAGGTGTAATCCATCACCCAGCAGTTGGGGAAATGAGACATGGCAAAATTTTTCTCCCAGTCAGCTCAGGCCTTTGAGAGGAACAAGGGTTACAGTTCTGTGCACATGATCAGTGCTGGTTAGTGCTGACAGCAGACTGAATGGGAGCAGTTAACAGATGTTTCAGTTTTTCTTTGGGCTTTGTCAATGTAGCCAGGGATGGAAAGGAACAAGAGAGCACTGGACAAACACCATGCTCGTTACCATGTGTTCCTTTAAGACTGTAAAGGCTGCCACTTACAAGACAAGCAAAGACCCCAAAATTTGGACTGCACTGGGTAACTCTTTCCTAGGCTGACTCTTGTGACAAACTGGTGAACTGCAACCACCCAGGAGCTGAATACACCCGTGGTACAGAAGAGTGTTTGTCTGGGACCTTCATCTTGAAGCTGTAACTCAGTGTGTTGGCTCCAGCTAAATGACAGTCTCTTTTTATTCTCTGCAAAGCTAGGATGATATCCATCTCAAATGCAAGCTTTGAAAATGCATTAATGGAGAGGTTTCAGCTGCAATATGGGACTCAAGTCTGTTGTGAAGCAGGAGTATTCTTAGTGCTGATCAGATTGTGGAATTTCTGTCCAACATTCTCCCTTGAGACACAAGATTTTTTTCTTATCTCGTATTGGTAAAAAAAAACTGAGAAATCAAACTATTTCATAAAAGAGAAATCCCAAATTTGGCACTTTTTAGGATTTGCTCAGACACAGGACACAGATCTAAATGGGAAGAACTTTGTGATGAGGTGGAAGGGAAATTAAAATGCTGTTGTACATACAAACTGCTCGGTACATCTAGAAATTTAAAGACTGATATAAGGTGCCCATATACCACCTGCACTGTTACCATAACATCTAATTCTATTATATGAACCCAATTTCCTGGTTTTAAGTGTCTAACTTCTCTGTATAGTTATTGGTAGATTGATTATTTCCTAGGGACAATTCAGAGCACAGGGCTGGGACAGGGACTGAGCATGCAGCTTTTGGCACAGATGCTGACACAGTTAACATGTTACTCTGTTCTGGATAGTTGGCTACTCATGAAGACCCTCTCAAACTGGCACAGCTGTGAGTAGAGCTATGGTGCAGATCAATTAATGGAGCTAATCTGGTTAAAAAAGAATCTTTTATTATTTGCTTTTGCTCATTTCTGCAGCTGGACACGTTTCCAAATAGTTTGCTTAAAAAAAAAGGCCCAGCACAGTGGAAGGGACAGACAGGATAAGAGCAGAGGGAGGCAGAGGGAGAAGAAGACTGGCTGAAACACAGCCTTAGGACCCAAGGCTTGTAATTAGTCCTTCAAGAACTGTATTTTCTAGTGATACTGGTTAGTCACACTACCCAGTCTGACATTTTAGAAGGTTTCCATTTTCAGAAAGCATTAATCATTCACCATCTGAGAAGAATGAGGCTCAAGGAAAAGTGCTTCAGATTGGACAGAATCATCCTCTGCTACTACTGAAGTACAACTGGTATTTTTTAGTACAAGAAATTATTTTTGTGACTGAAACATATATCCCTTATATTCCGTATTTCCCAAAAAACATTTGAACTTTTTCTTGGATCAACAGAGATGTCCAGTGCTCTTCTGCCCAAAGGATTAATAGCAACAATCACAACAGCAGATGAATCTGACATCTGGTCATCTGTTTCTGTTATTTAATCCAGATAATAAATAGATAATCCACCTACTTATATATGAAACACAGGACTAAGTTCAACATGTTCTTTTAGAGTGGCCCATTAGCTACTCACTGGTTTTGGATGAAGACGACTTCTGGGGAGAGGCAAAATATTTCTGAAAAATACACACAGTAAGTTATGATGAATTTTTATTGGCTCAGATAGGCTTTTTAGGATCTAGAGGGAAGGAGGTCTGCAGTAAATGGATTTGATTTCAGCTCTGCACAGCTACAGTGCTTGTGGTGATGCTGTGCCCTTGGTGTGGAACTACTCTAGAACAGCTCCTGTCCTAGATCTGGGGTCACCTGTGACTGCACAGGACCTCACCAAACACCCTCACACACAGAGTATTGTGGATGCCTCCTTCTGGGGGCACGTAACATACCCTGTAAGACAATGACCTAGAGAGGAGGCAGGGCTTCTGATGCAGCTTTCTATGCTTCTGGGGACACAGGAGTGAAGTAGGCTGCACACTCAGGTACGATTTTTCCCTTTTCTGCCGGAGACTTGGGATATAAACCATGGATTTACTGAGCCCAGTTTCTTCACATGGCATCTTGTACAGCTGCAAAAACATCTAATTTGCAAAGGTGCAGAGGTGGCTAAAAGGACCTTAAACTGGCTGGCAGAGATATTTTATCCCTGTACTGGATCCTGTAAGGGAGATTTCAGAAAATCCTATCCATATGGCAAATTGCCTTGAGCACAGAAGTTCACAAAGCAGTGAGAGCTTTTGGTTCTCACCTTGTCCTAGCATCCCCAGCTATTTGAGTGGCCTGACAATTGTTTACTGTCTGAAATCTACACATTAGAGAGAAGAATTTTTTTTCTCTGCTAATATTTCCTATTGATCTAAGCTGCTGTTAACTTACCTGGAATTATCCTGCTTAGGTGACTCTCTGGTCATGCTGTGCATGTGGGAGTGCTCTGTATTCTGTGCAGGCATAAACATGAGTGGCTTGGTGAACCTAGTAATGAAACATGAATTAAGAAAGGAAAATTACATTTAACAACAGTAAATACAAACAAAACCTCTCTTTCTTCTCCCCTACCCCCTCAAAATTCTAATAAGTAACCTTAAGAGTATTTCTTTTTACTATGTACTACATTTGGGTTATTGAAATTAACATAAAAATCATTGATAATATTTGTGCAGATAATCTGAAGAGATATTTTACTCTATGTATTTATTACTTCTGTTACTGTATTTCTTCTAGAGAAAGAATTACCAGACACGTAGTATCTAAATGAGAAAAAATATTTTTCTGACAGTTTTAAATAATGCACAAACATTCACAGCAATGGGTTACCTGGTTACTGGTGGTGGTGATGGTTTCTCCTGTAAGAGAAAATGCACTGAATTGTTTTTTGGTCACTTTTTAATTCCATAAAATAGATTTGTATGATCCTATTTATGTTACCATATCAAGATATTATTTTTGCATTGTGATACAGATTTCTACTAGAGCTCTGTCTGGTAATCTACATTAGGATGGGAGAGGCAAGAACTCAACATCAGTAAATCTGCTTTGGCCATATGTTATGTCAGTACCAGCAAATGGGAAAAAAATTACTGTGTCAGAACTGTCATTGCTCCTCTGCTGCAGTTCTGCCTCTGTAAAGCATTCCCTTAGGCTGCTGCTTCACAGATTGGATCACTATCACAGAGGACTGGGAAACTTGCCCCTTCCCATTTACTCTTTTGAAATGGTTTGCCAGCTTTTCTGAAAAGGGAGTGTCAGAAAGCTTTAAGTGCAGGAAGAGATATGTTCCCAGTTTTCCCTTTTGAAAGACTGATAATCTTTTCTCAAAGTCACATTTGTACCCTGCCTGAGGGCAATGGGAGTCATACTGTAGAAAGGCCTCACCTCTTCTTCAGGAACCTCGTAGACTTCTACAGGACAGGGAAGAAATAAAAAGCACTCTTTAGTGTAGCAAAAACATACTGCATGTTAGCATAAAAGCTGATCTGAATTTCTACCAGTCATACTTGTGACTCTGGAAAAATAACTTTGAGAATCTGCTCAGAATTTGAATCTGCCACCAAAACCCTGGAGCAGCAACACCCCCAACACCCCCTGTCTTCTAGGGGGAACTTCAGGTGAAGTCACAGGAATTCTGATATACAGTGACTGTATTAATCAAGATTACTCCCATCACAAAACCTTTTTGTTGTTCTGTTTCTCTTCTCATTCCCTCCCTGCTGCAAGCAAGATGAACGCTTGTGTTGTGCAAACCTGGGTCAGTTTGGAAAAAATTGTTTATCACACCTGCAGCAGCATTTAGCCTTTCCTTGACTCATGGAGGAAGAAATCAGGCCAGTCATAAATACAAGCTGGCTCCTTTGCGTGGCCAACATCCCTCCCTGAGTTCTGACCCACAAGTATATTTGAATTCATAGACCTTGAAAGAAAAAAACACCACCATCTTTATCTATGCCCAGTTTCTTCGATGCAAACAGAATCCCATTTCAGTAAATTTCATGTCAGGTTTCATCACTTTACTGCACTCAAGTGTCCCGGCTCCCACCAGGGGGAGATGTTTTATTCTTTAGTAACATCTGTCAGGAACTGGTTGTTGCTCGACGCTGATTTACAGAAAGGCTGAGACTGAAAAGGGCATTTTAAAGTATCTGGAAAATAATTCACGAAATCTTAAGCAATTCATAACAAATGTTAGTTTACGACTTGTAGTTTGTGACTTTAAAGCTAAACACATTGCTAATGAATATGCAAAGCTTTTTAAAGAACTGTGTCATGTCTGGAAAGGTTACATCCAAGCAATTAATGAGAATGAGGATGCAAAACAAGTCTAAGTTGGAAGAGAGAGATTAAACAAGAATATCTGAATTTACAAAAACAAGTAGGATTCCTCTTATTTGCTTCTGCTTTTGTTTCTTTTTCCAAATAAACTGCTCTTTATAGAATCTTAATGGGAACACTGTTACAAAAGACCATGCAAGACATTGGCCTGTACAGAATTTCTATATGGTTAAGTCTAATGATCTCAAAGTATTGGGTCTTGATTCCTATGGTGAAATGGGATTACTGACATACTGAGTCCTATAATTCTTTTTGCTGTATTGATCCATTTGTGTTCCTCTACTAGAGCAAAAGACTAAAAATAAATTAATTTGGGGCAAATAACTTGTTCTAGTTTTATTCATGCTTAAAATGGATTTACTGTTCAAGCTAGACAAAGCAACTGCTACAACACAGAAAAGCTAAAGGGGAACATATTTTTGTTTTACTTCAGTATGTCATAGGGTTAGTGGTGTGAATACATCGGGCATAATTTAATATTCCACAGTCTTATATTATTGTATTCTAACAGCAATGCAAGCTTCACATACCTTGCATAATAGAAGGAAGAGAAGGCTTTGGAGAAATAGGGGGGGCTGGCTTTGTTGTCTTCATAAATCTGTTCACAGGTGCTATAAACATATTTTATTAATGTACATATATATATTTGTGCATGTGTGTATATATACACATATATTTATATATTTGCACACATCTGTTTACAAACTAATAATGTAACATTTATACAATAAGAATGAATATTAAGTAGTCCAAATGACAACCTTTTGTGTGACCTTGAATAAATCAACTGAGTCAGAAAGCAGCTCTCATTTTTTAAAAGAGAAGGATTATTCAGTATTTCAGCCTTTCTGAAGAGGTTTGATATTGTCAGTGATGTCAGAGCAGAACTACATGCTCTTCTCTGTTTACTTTCCACCTTTGGAGTGTAGTAGTTTCATTCTCTAGCTAAATATATATATATAAGTGAGACTAAAAAAATAAGTAAAGTCTGTCTTTATCTACTAAATATCTAAAAATGCTTGTTCTTCTCCTGAAGCACTTCAGCAAACAGAATTTTAATGCTATTGGCTCCTTTGGTTGAGAAGGCAGGTCATATGTCATGAGAAGCCTCCTGGTTGTACAAGGGCTGAACTTTGAAATAGCTGAGAGAGGCAGAAATTAAACATGTCTTCCAATAAAGTTAAAAATAATTTTCCTTGGCCTTGTCATAAGCCAAAGGAGCCAATTGCCTTTTCACAGGCTGTGATCTCTTTAATAGCTACATTTCCACTCTTTGAACCCTAGAAACAGACATTAATTTTGCCCTTTTTTTCCCCCCACAATTATTCCTAATAAAGCAATAAGTATAAATGACTAAAACTCACATCTTGTAGGTAGTGACACGCTGCCTTCTGTGGGTTCAATATAGTTATCATCATCATTGTCCACTGGCACAATGTAGTTATCCTATGAGAAATGCAGGACACAAATCTCTCAGTTAAACCTCCATTATGTCATCAAAGTGTTTGGATTGAAGTCCTGGCAGCAGTTTACAATAGTTGCTATTTCACAGTGACTCCTATTTCAGACATTTATCATCCTATGTGGAAGGCAGTCCCAAAGATTGAAAATCCTTTACAGAATTATTCCACTGGTGCATGGAAGCCCTCCCTTCCCTCTGGTCCTGGAGTAGCCTTTGAGGTTTCTCTCTCCCTACTGCCTGCAGCTTGTTACAGATGATCAGGAGCCATTCCATGGTCTGAAGAGCCTCCTTGATACTCAAAGCAGGCAGATATCCCCTAGGAGTCAGTGTGGCACTTGCATGTCACTATTAGTGATGTACAAAATGATTTCTACTACAAAGGCTAAGAAAGAGACCAGACCATGGCATTGCTATGACATTTACACAGTTATAACAAATGTATCTGTAAACTTTACCTCATCATCACTGCACTCCTTAGGCTTAGGTGGCACTTTTGGTTTTGCAGCAGGAGATGGCAATGGCATGGATGGCACACATGGTTTCTTTGGTCTGGACATGGCTGGACTGGGTGTACTTGGGAGAGGTTTGTTGATGGGAGGAAGCGTCTGGTGACTGGTGCGATTGTCTTTTAATTTGGTAGAAAACAACAATTTGAGTAAAAATTACACATTAGTCTCTGCACTTTCTCCTACTGCTTGTGCAAAAGTCCTTGCTGTGGCTGCAGCACAGGTCGAATGGCAGACCTGAGCACAGCTGGACCTGATGTTGAGATCTGTGTGTAACAGGTCCCGTTTCCTTGCCCAGGGCAGCAGCCCAGCCCTCTGTATCAGGTGCAGCGGGCGCCTAGACACTGGCTGCTGTACGAACAACTCTTCAGCTCCCTGGGGAAAAGGTGTAGTGCATATGAGACATGAGAAAAACGACACTGGGTGGGACTGGAACATCAATTACGCCAGGTTCTCTGGGGTGTCAGGTCCTTCCCTTTTCAAAGAACACACAGGTCAAGGGCTGATAAACTTCTATGAGTACACATGTGGTATTTTAACACTTTGATGAATATTCCACAACCAGTAACAGCGTGGTATCATACAAAAATGAAAGCAGGCATCATGCCAATGTTTCTTTTCTCCATGTCTCTCAGATCTTCATCTAACTGAAGCTGACTTTCATTCACTTCAATGCAACCTATTCACGGTTGAAAAGAATCGAATTAGAAAGAAAAAAATCCCTTTACACTGGACTGATGTAAATAAAATCTTGATCCTGTCCCGTTTTTCAGGATATTTATCACCCTTAGTATCAATTTTGAAGGAGTGAATATTTGGGCTACTGTTTTACTGCTTTGGGAATAATGACTGGAGAAACAGAGAAGTTTAAGAAGGGACCTGTCTAGTCTGATGTGCCTCATCTTCAATAGTAATTGCTGCATCAATATATGTGGATTAATTTGGAGCCCCAAGTTAACAGTATCTCCCACACCTCTGCTTGAATTCTGTCATTAGTAGATGTCTATCACAGCCTCTAGGACACATTGTATTAAAATTATAAACATCACTACTGGCAATGCTAACCTGTTTCATACTGTAATAAAAAAAAACCCAAAAAACCATACCCCTGAATGCTTAACATCTGAGTATGAAAATTAGAAGCAAACTCTCGAAGAAAGGACAGATTAGTGCATTGGGGCCTCTCTCTTCTGGTACTGATCAAAAAGCAATTATCAAGGTGACATAGTTAACTATTCCTTAACTACCTGCATATTCACCCCTAGAAACAGGGAATGAAGAGGGAATCTTCTTTTTCTCCTTCTCACTTGGAGGTGGCTCATAGCTGTCATCAGGATTCTCTTCACTGGGGACCACATACATCTCAGAGTCAGAGTGGTCATCTGGATTTTCATAATCACTGTCCTAGAAAGACACAACTCCTCATTTCTCATCTCATAGCATTCTATAGCAGAAAATTACAAAACTGTACCCTTGAACAAACATATCATATTCCTTTTTAGTGCTTCCTCTTGCAAAGAGGCACTCCTGCCTCCTCCCAGGAGCTCCCTGTCTTCTTGCTATCTCCAAGGAGTCCTTCTACCTCAAGAGCTTGGTCTTCAAATTACGGACCAATAGCTTGTTTCCTTCCCCAGGACAGTTCCTTTCTAGGTCCAGCCAGATGGATCTTGGTGTGTGTTGTCACTTCCTCTCCCTTTCCAGTTAAAAGGGTATTCAAGATCTGACTCCAGAAGGAAACTGGTCACTTCAGGCTGACAACTGCACCATTACTTTACACATCTGACAGCCATGAATTGCTTCATTCTAATGTTTTCTAAAATCTTAGCAGAAGTTTTCATTTTTAGTAAGAAGTGGCTTTCCTCTCCTCATCCCTCCCACCCTTCCTGCCCCAAGTAAAACCTTCTTCTGATTTCTGAAATTATTGTTCAGTTTAGGAAGTTCCTCAAATTGATGCCGTGTGCTTACTTATCCAAAAACCTTAGCGTTCGTGGCTACCACTGACTGTGCTTCTGAAAGTACTTCGAAGTTGAGTGTAAAAAAATTGAGGCAGCTAAAAATCAGTGGCTACTTGTGAATTAAACTGATGTAAAAAATAACACAACATTCCAACTTTGTTTGGCTCAGTATTTAGTTCAACCACAAGTAGATGATTTTAAAAGAAACTTTTATTATTATTTCTTGTGCTAACTTGTTGCCACAGTAACCTCCTACTAGCCCAAAATATGTACTTACAAAATCATCTGACCATTGTTCCTCTTCATTGTCTGCGTGTTCTAAACCAAACATTAGAGTTATTTAAGGAGATGTAATAGTAAATATAAATGTTTGTTTTAGATTGGTTTTTCAATCTATAGTTATCATATTTGGTTAAAAAAGAGTGAGCAAAATTTCCAAACAGTTCTGAGCAACACATCTATTTGGACAGAATAGTAAATTAAATGCCTTTTTGCTCATTTTTGACAACTTATTTCAGAACTGTTGGAAAAGCATTAGAAAATGACAAACTGTGCATGGTCTGAACAGCAGAGCATGCAATTTACCCACAATGCATCTAATTTTTAAGTAGGGATGACAATTTCTAGATAATGGAACTTTTGCTGACCTCTGGGCCCTGGTTAAAGCTGGTTAAGTGTTTATATTAAACAGGGAGCAGTTACCTGATAAGTTCCAAACTCTGTCCTGCTTTCTTCTAGTCTTATCTTAACAAGATGGCTGTTAACTTGTAAGAACGGCCATGAACTAGTTTGTGTGCTGTATGATAAGCAAGTAAAGGTCTACCTTCAAGATAATTTATGATGTCATCATTACATTAATAGTATTAAGACTTTAAATCTATAATGATGCATTTGTTAAATTTCTTCTGTATTTACTTTCACAGTTTCTGTAAGGAGGGGCTGCATGCAAATTCTCCTACATTTTTACAGCAGCCTAGATACAGAACTCCGATTAAGACTGATTTTGAAAGAGTGGTTACTTGCTACTCTTCATGCTGGCACAATTAAGCATTTTTTTTCTTGCCTTTCATTTCAGAGGTGTGAACTACCTTCAGAGTTGTTGATAATGGTATCTTGTTCTCTCATTAAAAACAAATTATGAGGAACTATATAGCTGAAATACTGTTAGGCATATAGATAGCAAATTAGCACAGACATGCAGTTTAAATTTACATTAATACAGCCTTACCTGAAGCATAATCCCTTTGTGGCAGACTTGGCGGTGGCTTTTTTTTAAGGCTGTAAATTATAATTATTACATTTATGATCTCATAAGTAACATTCACTAGAAAGGAGTATTAGCCAGACACATAAAAAAAGCTGATAACTAAAGATACCTGCAGCTAAAGAAATACAGATTACCATCACAGATGCTTAGCAAATAGCTGTAGAAGAATGCTTTCAAAAGCTAGAAACTGATAAAATAATAAAACAGAATCTCAGAATTTGATATATTTTTTTTCACTAAGAACATATGTTGAAAGGACAGCTTCCTCGCTCACCCCACGTCTTCTTCATTTCCAGAAAGAGATAAGATAGGGGGCAGAAATAAATGATGATCTATCAGAAGATGAAAATCTGTTCAGGTTCACAGAGGCTTTGTTAAGACTATGGCATAAGAAAGTGGTGTAGCACTCTCCATTTGTATTTTTAGAACTAAATAATTTTGCATGCACTTTATTTTATGGTTAATATTTAAATGTATACCAGGTCTCTCAGTGAAATATTCTACTTTTTATTATTTTATGATGTTATGTCCCTTTTTTGGTAAAAACTGTTACAATGGCATCAGATATCAAGTGAATCAAAAGATGATGGATTTGTAGAAATACTGAAAGGATCTTTTTGGCTATACACGTAGGTTCATAAGTGTGTGCATGTATATATATCTAGCAAGCAGAAGTACACATATGAGTAAACACACACACATATATTTGTGTGGGTGTATTCATGTATACTTCTCCTTATTAACTTGCAGCTGTCCAAAGGATACATTGAATTATAGTCAGTTTAATTATTTCACTACCCTGTAATGAAAGAGAAGAATTTGGGTTTAAAGTCAAGATGAACAATGCATGTGTGGCATCACAGGCCAGACTGGTGCCTCTGCAGAGGGAAAAAACAACAACCCTTTGTTTTTTGTAGCCAAATAAAACATTAAGATAATTAATGACATTAAAATTATTCTTTAAAGTGACTTTTGAACATTGTCTGCTTCTTTGTAGCACTGATGGGATCTTACCATGGACCTGAAGCTTTGTCTACTAAACTGATGACTTCACTCATTCGTCAGTCAGGCCCTAACAAATTCATTTGCAAAAATAAGCAAATAATTTAAAAAACCCCACATCCCCAAAGAATTTTAAATGTTTTTTTTTTTTGGGATCTCTGAGCAGTAGTGTTTTCAAATGTTGCTTTACCACAGGAATTTGACTCTCAATATTTAGACTTAGGTCCTATTTAGGCTTGCTGCCTAGGTATCATTGTTCAGGTACCACTTGTTACTCAGGGTGGTGGCAGGCTGGCACTACCACATCAACTTACAAATTTTCCTGTCTGTTTTGAGAAATGCTTTGGCTACTTCTGAGTTGAATTAAAGGAATTCTGTTGCTCAAACAGTCACCAAAAACACTCCATGCATGAATCAATGAATAAATGGTGCGGGCATTGCTAAAACTCAAAAAAACCCACCAACTCCCCAAACTAAGCAAAAACCAAACCAGGAAGATTATTTTTGCAATGTTAGCCTGCTTTGTTCATGGCTAACAACACTGATGATGGATAGCTGTCTCCTAGTTTTAACCTCCTGAAGCATAATATAACTTAGTGTACAAACAGTAAATTAAAAAGCATTCTCAACAGCTCTGCTCTGGTCTTCTGTCCAAGTTAGCACAGCCATGTTAGAAAGAAAATCCCAGGGCCACTGCCAGGGCTCAAGTCTTAGGAAGGACAAGTCTTAGGAAGGGCAGACCAAGATCTCTTCATGTATTTTACAATACATCTGCCATGAGTTGTTTGGAGACTTGGGAAATAGTGGAACTGAGGCAACAGTGAGAGGCTGTCTAGGTCACGGTATGAAGTACATGGCTTAAGCAATATCACACATTTCTAAGCTGCTAAGCTTCCACACTTGGTACCAGGCCCTGTAAATCCTGGCAGTGACCCTGGCAGAAAATGTAAATACGTTATAACGAAAGCACACGAGGTAAGAACAGAGGTCTGTGTCTAAGCAGCCTATCATGCCATGGTGCAGCTATGGAATAGCATACCGATCCCAAGTATCTTTCCCAGTTTTGCAAATTAAGGCCACTTGTTCATTTTGGAACCTGAATATCAATAGAAAAAAAAGAAATAATGTTTCTGTCACAGAGCTGAAACAGTTCACAGCCACATCTACATTTGCTAGAATCTTTTCAAATATGTTATTTATTCTAAAATTCAAATCCACTTAAAAATAAGTTTTCACAGTACTGGTATAATTTTCTAAGTGCCAGAACTGGAATCCAGGCTCTTTTGAACTCAGCTGGAGCTTCACTTTACAGGAGCCTGAGCTCTACCCAATGTGCAAACCACACCACAAGCTCAAAAGACACAACCCTACTTCAAGGCGTGGTTCCCCAGCTACTGCAGACTCTGACCTCATTGTCCACACAGATCCTTGCAGAATGGCAATTGACTCTGCCTTGCTCCCTGAAGTTAATGAGAAGGGACTGGAAGAACCAAAAGCCATCCAACTGACCATGCATATTTAAATGTATTTAACCATAGTACATATACTGGAGCTTCAACAAATAACCAGGTAGCACTTGAGACATTTCATATAATGCATTATAGATGCTTCTCACACATGAATAGAATGCAGGGTAGAGAAATTCAGAACAACTTTTAAGAGAACAAATGATTCCATTTTAAAGCAATGTATTCCAAAATTTCCCCCTATAATATGCTGAGCTTGACCCAACAAAATATTTAGGCATGTATTTATCTTTTCTGACATATATGGTCCTGTAGGAGCTGTAAATATTAATTACTTGGAATTTGTAGCACATTTTTGTTTTCCTGCATTTGAAAATAAACTGCAGCAGAGGTTTGGGTATTTTGCTCTAGCAACACTTGTTTTTACAGGCTACACCCAGAAAAACAATGAAACATACATATTAGTAGACCTTTACACGCAGCACTTAAATTTTCCCACAGGTGCATTTCCCTACTAGTGTTTTTGCTCAGTCCCCCAGCATTTAAGGTATGCCTGAAAACTCCTATTTTCAAAAGTCAATTGCTTTCTTGTATTGTTAAGTCTGTAAAAAGTCCACTCCTTTGTTAGGAACCATTTTAATATAATAGTTTTTACAAAAATTATATTGGTATCTTGTCTGACCTGAGTATTTATAGTATGTATTAGGTTTACATGCACTAGAACATCACACTTGTGATTACACAATAAATTAACTGAACTTTGCCAGAAACATTTTCAGAGGTCCAAAAGGTGTGATGCAAAACAAACTTTTCCTGAACTGTGTATTCCTAGTGGAAGAGTTTGTTATACACTTGGAATTATACAGCGATTGTACAAGATAAAATTAAAATGAAAGGGATTTTTTTTGAAATTTTTATTATGACTCTTCCACACAATCTTACAATGTGCTATGGCAGTTATTGTAATAAAAATCCTGACACTCAAAACATTCTATTCAGCTACACAGCAATTTTCATGTTTCTTCATCATAACAGTTAAAATAAGGCATTATACTTTTTCCTGTTTTCTTTTTCTAAGTGTGGTACAGCTTGATTTTGGTACTTTCTCTCACTGTTTGGTTCATAAAACACTGCTTTTCCCTCTGCCAAGGGTTTGATCATGAATGCCTTTTACTGTAGCTATGCAGGTTGAAGAGATATTTAGTGACACAACTATTTTTCTGCCTGAAGTTACTGCCTAAATTATAAATGGTATAGAAAAATGGACCACACAAATCTGAAGCAAAGACCTACCCAACTAAAAAGATGGGTAAAGCATCTTTGTTCCATTTTCCAGGTCACATGGCAAATGTTCAAGAAACGGACATTTGGATAGTGTGCAGTCAGAAACTTGAGTAAAAGTGCATGATTTCTGATAGCTTTGTGAAGGATGTGATACTACAACAAGGAGAATAAACGGAACTTCTTGTTTCTTATTCAACACAGTAGGTCAGCACATACAAAACTTTAGGTGAAGTCCTGACTTTGCTGTACATGCAGTGTGACTTTTAACACCCAACTTTAGTTTAGTCAGGATTCCACTGAACAAAGCCTAGAGGCTTAAAGCTTACGATGTCCAGATGAGTGCTGTCTTTACAGCGTGTTTCAAGCACAGCCAGCCTACATCCTGAAACCTATGATTGCTCTGCTTCCCTGCTCTGCATTACCAAGGATGTGAGTATGAAAAAAATGCCCCCAGCTCTCACTGTTTATCCAATGCTGGCTACACTCATTGCTTCTACACCTGAGTACATAATCTTCCTCGACACTGTGATCTGCACAGCAGCTGGGACTCAGGACTGTAAACAGCTTTGCATGTGATTAAGGGCAAGCAGGTGACAGCCATCCTGCAGTGGCCCATATTTTTACTGCCAGAAAACATTGAGTCGGAATGGGGAGCAAACAGGAACTTTTAAGCAAGGGAAAAACCTAGCCTTTCTATTTCTTTCCTGTTACCAGGAATGCTCAGCCTGCTTTCCACAGATCCTTAAGACACACATGGATAGTAGATGAATTCCTCCCCACCTGCACCCCACAGATGAACTAGCCTGGAGAGCAAATGTTTTGAGATGCAAGACCTTTTACACTTCTTCATAATCACGAGCCAATCCAGATTTTAGATGTGTTTTAACAAATACTGCTAATAAGTCATTAGTCACTGCATTTCACAAATATTTGATAATTCTTTAAATTTGTATAGCAGAGGCTTATGGCATACATTTGGGTGATAACTTTAGGCTTCAGATACGCAAGTACACTGTTTGAATTCTCTTAAAATTATTTCTACTTATAACAGGTTTGATTTTGATTTTCTTTCCCAGCATATAGATGAATATCTGCTACACAAAGCCCATTTAAAATAAAAATTTTCCTGCTTCACTCATGTTTAGAACCTTGACATTTAATAAAATAATCCTTTAACTGAAATGGAAGTAGTGATCATCTGGATAACCATGTTTGGTTTGTTTTTACAACCAAACAAAAAGGCTGCATAGTAAGGAACACAGCCAGCTCTAATTCTGTAAAGCTTAACTCCTCTTGTACATATCCTTATCAGTGCTGTCAACTCATGCTTTTATTGCAAGTCTCATTATGTGTTGGGTTCAAGACTTGAACCCTGAAGTCATGTGCAAATATTAGAAATTCTTCAATTTTTACAAACTAAATTTCTGATCTTCATAACTGCAAAAAAGATTATTATGACTCAAATGAATCACAGTAACATCAGAAAGGTTATTATGCTTTTATACCTCATGTTGTGTTCTTATGACTGGGAGAGTTGACATGTGAGCTTTGTGCTGCAGTCATACTTTGAGTTTTTATGAGTCTACTCTTTTTTTTATATATATATATATACACATATATATATTTATATTTTTTTTATCTTGCATGAATCAAAGAATTACAGCGCTATAGCAGCAATCTTTGACACTTAATGATGACCTTCCCAGCTTCTGCTACACTTGGTTCATGTTACTTCTCCCTTTTCTGTTCTTCCCTTCTTATTCTTTAGGAAAGACACAATCAGAGCAACTGATTAACAACAGAATTCACGTTCAGGCTACTATAGGAGACACTCTGTAGCCTCAAATGATAAACCTTAGATGTTCTGCTGTTTCTGTCATCTTTCCTCTCTGAGGCTTTTGAACTGAGTCCACTGGAACATTATTAATTACAGTTAAACAACTATTGTGAAGTAGGAAGCCATCCTTTATTAAAAAGCAGCAACTGTAAGAAACCCTCTTTAACCCCTTCCACTCCAAAACCCCACCAAAAGCTTTGGACAGCCTAGCAGCTCTTCCCTGTCAGCAGGTCCCAGGTGAAAATGAGTTTTTTGTAGCTGGGCGGTGAACACAGTGGTCACTGTGTTAAAAACAAAAACACACTTAAAATGCCAAGTAGTTGAAAGAGGGCCATTTTATGGGAAAATTTCCTTTTGTGCTTGCAGGGAAATAAGTAAGTATAGCAAGTGACTGTGATTAACTGTGAACTGCAGCAATCTTGGAGTGAAAGAGAATTAGTAAAAGAAAAAAAATTATCTCAAAAATCCATCTGATAGATCAGGTGTTTTACCATCAGAGCCTGCTCAAGGTCTGTGGGCAGAAAACATAGCTCTGGAAATGAGAGCACAAAGGAGTGCTGGGAGGCCAAGAATACCCCTCCTGCCTGGGGAACAGGAGAGCTGGGCAGTCCTGCTGCTCCTGGGGGTGTATCCCCCTCCTCTGGCAGCTCCAGCAGCTGCCCACCAACACCAGCCCTGCCTGGGCTGGCAGCAGGGCAGGAGCTGAGCCAGCCTGGCTCTCCAGAGCTCCTGCACAGCCAAAGCAGGCAGGGCCCCACTGCTGCTGCCAGCAGCTGACTGACTGATGGCTTCAGATACATCGGGAATTAGCTGTTTCCCTTGGATGGAGCCATCATGGTCCCTCTTTAAAAACAATTTAAAACAATGCTTCCATGTGTCTTTTATGTACAAGAGCTGCATTTCTAGAATTAAACATGGTTGTCCTGGAAACACAGCAGATAGACATTGTAATTAACTTCTAAAAGTATTTAATACTTTTGTTGCCAATGACCCATCCAAAGAAAGACATCTGAATGAGAAAATCGCATCCAAATGGAATTTCAATGCAAATGAGCTGTTGCATTAAGAAAAGTGTGCTAAATAGCTAATTGCTTTAAATAGATGTTTGTCTGGAAACACTGAATAGTGTATTCATTTGACAAGGATGCAAAATTACTGGAATTTCTTTCTGTGTATAAATACATATGAATATTTTATAATACTTTCATGCACGTGACACAATCTGCATGTTGTTCAATATATCTTACTAGAATAAGGGAGCTAGGTAATGCTGGATTTTGTTTTATAAGACTGAAACACAGGAGGACTTTGCATTTTTATGGGAATTTTAAGTATGATGTCTGACCAGTTGGTTCAAGGTGGAGCTCAAACTCAACTTAATTGCAGCAGGAAAGCTAAACAGTTGCCTAAGGAGAAACGCACACATGCAAAGAACAAGCAATGACCATTCCCAGCAAACATTCCAAAAAAGACTCTTCACTCAAATACTGTTTTTTTCAAGGCTACAAACACAACCTATCATTGGACTCCAGTTCTGCAATTCCTTTATGATATTCTTAATACTGCTGACAATTCTGCAGGTTGCAGTCTGAACTGAAGCTCCTTCCATGCACTGAAGTGCATCCCTCTGGAATGACATGGTCCCATCACTAAAGTACCACACATCACTCTGCTCATAATCCAGACTTCCCCACATTGATACAACTAGGGATTGGCATTGCAAACTTACTTTTTGAACTTGTTTATTATCCCACTTTCATTTTTCTTGATGTCATGCACCATCTTTTGGAGCTTCCTGTAAGATATTAAACAAAGCCAGCATTAATTTACTAAGTGGTTGAACATTAATATAAATTAAGAAAAATATGCTCAATGTATCTTCAATAAGTAGTTTAATTGCTAAATCATTTGTGCATGAAGTTTTCCTTCCTTTTAAAGAGCTCTGTAGCATTATTTGTGTTATCCTTCCAAATACAATTAAATACAGTATAAACAATCAATTTAAGAGTACGTGCATCAGGAAAAAATAAATCCTTGCCTAAATTAATAGTGTAGAATATTTAAATGATGCCATTTTATCTAGAACTGACTTCAAAACTCTAGCAAGGCTATAATGATGATGTCCTCTGATTTCTGGCCATACATGGGACACTTAAATATAATGAGAATAATGGACAAATAATTCACAAGCACATCTTTAACTTCTGCTGAAAACTCAAACTGATAATTTATAGCAAAATGATAGACTATAACCTGCTAATTTAGAGAAATTAATTACTTATAGTTGTGAGAAACAAGTGTAGAGCAAAATGCTCCAAAATTGCCAATAACAATATTCTACATCTCTAAGAGTAGCTTGGATTATTATCTAAATTAATGAGATACATTAAATCTGAGGTGAAAAGCTCAGAAGAACTTCTGCTTTTCTGTTGCATTTGCTGGGGTTTTTTTCTTAACAGACTCAGCTTCTGGTTCTGCTAGAAACATCAGAAATAGCCATCATCTGCAGTTTGCTGTTTCTGTGCTGTGCCCCAGCTGGCACCTGGCAGTGTCTATAAATGAAATGTAATGAGGAATGAAAAGAATGAGAGGAGATCTAAATGGTTTAGTTCTAGTTTGGGGAGAATGGTTGTAAGTGTTTGTGTTTCTTTCAAAAAGGCTTGCCAGACTTCAATTAGGGATGGATGTCAGCATCAGTTATATTCTTTTGTTGTTTGTCAAAGTTAGAACTCACCAACAAAAATCTAATTGTAGCTTTTTATCTGAATATTGCTTATTGCTCATCACTGACACTAATATATTTACATTAGCAAAATTATTACTTTATTTTAAAAAAGGTGGGCTTTTTCACATTACTGGTTTTAATCTATATTGTCATTTATTTGCTAAAAAAATCTTCACTCATGCATGCAAATAAGATTCAACACAAAATTGATAAGTACCTGAATTAGTTTGCTTTTCATTTGATCACATTTAGGTGAATTGATGAGAGCATCATGGATGTTCCATGAGTCTTGAATAAGGCTATAGTTTAAAATATAAATTTATTACATATTTCTATTTAAAAAGGTGCATTTAAATTAGTAAATCACATGCACAGGTGCTATTATGATATTTTTTCCAAGCAGATGGACTGCCATGAAAACATTCCCATTTTTTTCCCAAGTCAAATTTATTAAAAATCCGTGTCTCTTATTCCTTATTCTTTTTATGGAGGCATTTAGATGTCTAATTACAACTCTGATAAATCAGAGAGTACCTAATATGCATTAGTGTGAATTTTTTCAGCTTTTCAAGTTACATAGGTCTTGTAGGAGTTGTTAAAATCCTTGTTTGCTGCCCCTGGATAATTTATCTTGTCTGAAGCCTGTGAGAGTAAGCAGATAACCCAGTGCAATAAGTGGGGAGTGTAGGAAGCCATCAAGCACAGCTGATCTCCTGTTTGAATGAACTGCAAAAACCACTCCGTTCAGTTAGCTGGAGGTTGAAATTTCTTGAAGTGCCAGGCCACATAAAAGGCAACAACTGAAAAGTTTTAGGAAGAGCTGTCCATCTGATTTCTGATCTTAGAGAAACAGAAGATGAGAGGCAGATAGAAAAGTGTATGGCAAGAGGATTCTCCAAATCTTCAAGCACTCAATCCCATTCCAGAGTGATGAGGAAAGTGAAGCACAGAAGCCCAAATCTTCAAGCACTCAATCCCAGGCCCAAAGGCCACTCCAGAGTGATGAGGAAAGTGAAGCACAGAAGGGCATTTATATACCTAAAGTTTTGACTGAATCTACATATCTGACTAGTACCAAAATACTTGTGGTATGGCTCTCAAATACTTGAGATTGCACTCCAAGAAAAGGGGCTTGTTGAGAGAGGACCTCACCAGAGCAGCAGCCCGGAGAACACCCAGGAAATGGAGGCTCCCGTGGCCCAGTGCAGGCAGCCCTCGTGTCAGGTACAGAACTGCAACCTCCTCCTTCACAACACCTCTGAGTCAGGACCTCATCACCAACTAATGTTTATTCTCTAGTGCTCTCTTGGGATGAGCAGAAATACTCAAGGACCTCCATCAGCTAGTACTGTAAATAAAAACAATGAGTAATGCTCGTCTTACTTTGCATTGCACATAATTAAAGATAATCAAGAGGTAAAACTTAAAGTTGCTTCTTTAACTACAAGCTCCAACTCTTCATTAAACCTGCTTGGGATCTTTTTATGCAAAATCAGGTTTGCAGTCTGTGTTACTGCTAACCTTTGAAAAGACATTTTGGCAATAGATATTCTGAGATCCATTTTAATTGTAACCTGCAGAGACTGGATGGGACCCTTTGATTAGGATCTCGTGGCACACAATAGATTTTCAAAGTTCTGCAGATAGTAAGTTTGGAAGTCTTGGCTGTAGGTGCTTCTAAAAAGTTTTAGGTTTCTTACAAGTACATTAGAAATTCTACATGTTGAAAGGAATAAGAAAAAAAGACAGAAATCTAAACCAAAACACTTTTTAGCCCTGTGTTGCTATTTTTGTAGCTAAAAACTCCAGTAATTCAGAATTATCAGATCTATTGACAAAGGGGTCTGTAGCTGTGATAAGTACTTGAAGGAAGGTGGAAAGTTTTCCGATTGTATATATCATACATCCTGAAAGAAGGACTTGTTGTGTGACAAAACACCTTGCTGCACTCAAGGACTGGCAGAGCTGCCTCAAGATAAAACAAATAAAACAAACCCACCCTCTCTTTGATCTAGTCACAGCTCAGCTTATGAGGAATATGTGATGATGAAGTGAGGATGGTGGGCAGACCTGGCCTGTGACACATCCCCACCTTCAAACATCACCTGGAAGCCTTTGGCTCTTTTGCATGCACACTATCCTACAAAAGCTTTCTAAAGGTAAAATAGGTTTTAAAGAGAAAAATGAAGAATAAAGTGTGTGACAAGTTTTCAACTCAGATGTGAGATGAGGTACAGAGTCCCTAGACTTGAGAAAGAGAAGTCTGTCTTACTTTCAGACAGACATGTGTAATATGGAATTCTCCCACCATTTAGACTAGTTTTTGAGAAATTGTATTAATAGGTATTATAAATCAGTAATTGCTTTATAAGCAATATTGATTCATTCAACATTAAGGGACCTGTATGTTCCTTCTCCTCCTCCTCACAAGTTAGGTCTTGAACTGATGAAGCTGAATTGGTTTTAAAATAGTAAAAATAATTTAAAAAATAAATACACGGTAAATCAGACAATTTGCATGCCAATTGCATGTTCTTATACCTTTTTGGTTATATCTGTTTCTCACTGACAGGACAGCCTATAGTTCTGTGCCTAGGAAGTCACATTTTCTGAAGACTACAACATCCATTCACTTTACGTAAGACTGTGGGTAGGTGTAGCACTCACTTTTGGCTTAAGAAAGGCAGATCACATTAAAACAAAAAAATGTTTTTCAGAGTTTTTGTTTGTTTGGATTCTTTTTCAGGAAAATTTAAATACTTGCATTAGAAACCTAGAATGGGATTTAGTAAGTGCAAATTTTAGACTTAAAACAAAAAAATCTCCAAAAATACCCACTTGCCTCAGCTATAAGGTTTTACAGGAAAGAACCACAAAGCAGAAAGCAAGGAAAATTATAACGAAATTTGGAGAATAAAAGCTAAGCTATAAGAAGATACAAACCAAAACTCAAAGAGCAGAAAACTAAAAATTATTACAGCTACTTCTGTTAATTAAAAAAACCCCCACATTAGAATATGAAACTAAAGAAAGAACAGCATGTCCAGACTCTCACAGCACAATTATTCCACCACCTTTTCCCCAGCTGATCTCTGTTTTGTGTTTCCATTATCCTTCAGTTTTATAAATAGCTATGCAAGTGACCAAATTAAGAAAGAAAGTTATTGTTTCTGGAGAAAGAGAAGACTCCTGCTTCCTTTTGGGGGGAGAATCTGCTTACCTAGAAGGGGATTTGTAAAACTACCACTTGAGATTTTGAAAAGCATGTAGCTCTTATGTTGAAATATCTTCTCAAACTGCGTTAATAAACTAGAAAAGGACCACCTTTCCCATGCCAGGCTTCCATGAAATTAATGCTTCTGCCATGGTCTTTGTGGAAGAACATGGATTTTGGTGAACTGGGTGTCTTCCTAACAAGTATTTTCATATTACTTGTCAGTTTTGTGCCTCAAAGACAATGCAATTAAATGTTATAAAACAAACTCTGTCCCCTTCACTTCTAATTCCTCAGTAGAAAGCAAAAAGAAATACCAATTACAGAAAGCATCTAATTCCTCATTAGACCTCCTTCAGGTGCTTCAGACCCCCACATGCACACAACCTTATATTCTACCTGGAAAAGCAAGAGTGGGAGTCCTTTGCAAGGAAATGCCACGTGGAAACAGCCACCTGGGCACAGCTGGTGTTTTCTACGGCTGTGATATGTGTAAAACACATAAAAATGTGTAAGAGAGACAGCTGAACCCTTGAGATGCAGTCAGAAAAACCACTTCAGTAGCTACCGGTCCAAGGTAGGGCCTTACAGCCCCTCATCCACTCTGGGGTTTTATCCACCCCCTGCAATGGCTTTCTTGGTGGGAGAAGAGGAAGTTTGGAACTGGAGGTGGTAACCTGTGGCACCAAACCATCCATTCAAGGCACTGAGCCTTTGATCTCTATCTGTAAAGCTATCTCAAAGCTGACAAGAAAAGTTCAAAGAGGTTTTCTTATTGGGAGAAGTCAATTACAGCTACCTATCTGAGAGGAAGAAGGAACAAGGAATTGTTCTCACCCGTGTTTGGGAGATGCAC